CAGTCAGGAACCCCATGACTTTTACAAGCCGATCGCCTGTATGATTATCAAGATATTTATGATTGTAATTACAAATTTTGAAAACCGTTCGCCTGACGGTTTTCATAACACTACAGTCTATTGGGGTAAACGAGTATGGTAAAACCGGTCACTCAAAGATTTTTACTTTTTTGAGGCACTTCTTGATCATTTTGAAGCGCAATTTTTTTAGGGCTTCAATATTACACCATAATCACAGACACTGATAACACGTAAGGCCGTGTATCTCAGATTTAACATTGTTAAACGAGACCTTTAAGGAATGGGAAGTGAGTTGCATGTTTTGAATTTTTCAATATCGATCATGCAGGCTTTCTTGACGACTTTCATCACTCCGCCCTTAAATGTACCGCGAAGCTTTTGGATTGTTGGTAATGACAAAGAGGAAGAAGGTCAATTCAGATGGCTTGACGGCACACCAGTGAAGTAAGCACTTTAATGACGATATCGAAAATAAAACAAGTGCATTTCTATGATTAATCCTGTAGGACTAATTCATGTCGTTTGACAGTTATTAGTCATATTGGACGTTGGATCTCCATGTAGGGCGATGAAGTTTGTCAGAATTTATGAGGAATGCACGTTTCTAGATTTTTCTCAATTAAAATACCAGCAAACACAAAACGTTCTAAAGACGTTCACAAAAACGATAATGATTTTATGGTTATTTATGTCCTATGAAGGATTATTTAACCGGCATTAGTGTATTGTATTTATTTTCCGTCATTTAAAAAAAATACATCAACATAATTATATATATATATATTTACAATCACAAAGACACACTTATAAAAAAGAAAGACGGAGGGATGGCCCTACTCAGCGTTGTTAGCATAACAATGCTGGTTTACAGAGGGGTCCCTAATTAGTCTTGTATGAGTTAATAGTCTACAATACCATCATTAGTATTTTATCACCTTGGGTATCCCATTGTTATTGTAATTGTCATGCATTTTATTTTTCTTTCCTTTACATTAGATACGATGGTTGGGCGCGAGATGAACCAAACAATGATGCTGAAGGTCAAAATTGTGTTTGCCTGTGGTCGCACACAGAGAATGACAGACACAGACATTGGGACGATGCCAGCTGTACAGATAACCTAAACTTGATTTGCCAGAAAGGAATTTGTGAGTCGAATTACATTTATCAAAAGTCTTATGTGTACGCAAATGTCACTCTAGTCTTATGTCCATTGGCCATTGCACACAAGGCGTTATTAATTATGCCTGACGCAAGACTCCGTCAACGAATGCGGTGCGGTCTTTGATGCACCATGTGAGGATAGCGCATAGGGGATGGCGTCGTACAAAGAAAGGCAACGAAATGAATGGAACAGTATGGCACGTGGGATGGGGGCAATAATCTAATTTAATGACCTGATTAGCGCAGGTAAGTGACGCAATCGAAATTACGCCTCGTCTGCAATGGGCATTTCATTTAAAATTAGTTCAACCTTATGTAGTTAAAAACATGGTATCATTTACTGTGAAATATGTTGCTAGATTTGGTTTGTCATTGTTTCTTTCTTGTATCGCATTCTACAGATAAGTTCAATCTCACGATCCCTCGAACTAATCCCGGTTTCGCTAACGTCTACTGCGCCGTCGACGTCGAAATCGAAGGAGAAATGCTCTCTTCTGATAACGTCAAGCTATCCATCGGTCAAAATCTTTCGACATCGAGACCGATTTCCTACTCATTGACGAGCCTTGATGGTGAAGTCCGGAATAATAGTTTCCTCCTTTACAACGTGACCGAAGGTGACCAAATCTTCTGCTACGCAGGTGAACTGCCGGACCAAAATAGATCCTTTTCCCTGGCTACTATTTCTGCTGTCTTTGACTTTTACGGTAATATTTAGTTCAAACCAATTCTCACCATATTTAAACTGATTAAGTATTTGTGTATCGAGTTTCTCGTCCCGAATTTTTCAAAAAAGGATGAGGCAGCGCTTTACTGCATACTATTTTTCTCTTTTTTTCGATTTTGCATTTATCAATAGACTTATGTGTCTTAAAATTTCACTCTAGTCTTATGTCCATAGCACACAAGGCGTTATTAATTTATAGAAATAAATTAACTTCAATAATTCGACTTTCACGTAAATTACATTATTCAAATAAAATAGACATGAATAAGACAAGTAATGCTTCAATATGGCAAATTGTTAAAGATATGATTGGTTCTAAAAATTACACTCCTAAATCATTTTTTAAAGATGGTCAGGAAATAAATAATCCAGTAAAAATTGCAAATATGTTTAATTCATATTTTAATGATATAGGTCCAAATTTAGCATCAGAATTTAATATTGATCAAAAATAGTTAAACAATATTTGGATGAACCATTTTATAAATCTTTATTTTTACGACCAACATCCTCTCACGAAACTATTAAAGTTGTACAGTCTTTAAAATCCACTAAATCTACTGGTTATGATGGGATAAGTGTGAATCTTTTGAAAAAATTATTTATAATATTGTCTCTCCAATAACATATATTTTTAATTTATCGATCACACTTGGTGTTTGTCCAAATATATTGAAAATTTCTAAAATAATCCCAATATATAAAAAAGATGATTCTTCATTAGTAAATAATTATCGTCCTATTTTCCTTTTACCGGCTATCTCAAAAATTCTTGAAAAAATTATTTATGAACGACTTTATGATTTTCTAAATAGTAATGATTTACTTGTTCCTAATCAGTTTGGTTTTATAAAGCATCATTCGACAGATCATGCAGTTATTCAACTTTATGATAAAATTATTACATTATTGGCTAATAAGGAACACAGTGTAGGCATTTTTATGGACCTGAGTAAGGCCTTTGATACTATTGATCATAAAATATTGATTGATAAATTACACTTTTATGGAGTAAGGGGTATTGCTTTATCATGGTTTAAAAATTATTTGTTAAATAGAGAACAGTATGTATACTTTCAATCTAAAGAGTCGAGTAGATTACCTATAACTTGTGGCGTCTCTCAGGGATCGATACTAGGTCCTTTACTATTTTTGATATACGTTAATGATATTGTAAAATGATCTTAACTTTTAACATTTATATTGTATGCAGACGACACTAATGTATTTTATTCTCATACAAATTTAGACACACTTACGTCAATCTTAAATGTTGAATTATCTAAAATATATGTTTGGTTTAAGTCTAATAAGTTATCTTTAAATTTTACTAAAACAAACTTTATATACTTTAGAAATGTTCATTCACCAAAAGTATATTGTAGATTATATATTAATGATATTTTGCTTTTAGAAAAAATTCTGTCAAATTTTTGGGGATAACCATTGATTCTAATTTAACTTGGTCCGATCATATACATAATATATTGAGCACTGTTTCTAGGAACATTGGAACATTATATAAATTGAAATTATTACTAACTCCCGAATCTCTTTTTATGATTTATAATGCTTTTGTACTTTCGCATATTAATTATTGTAATATCGTATGGGGAAACTGTTGTAAAACTAAAATTAATTCACTTGAACTTTTACAAAAGAAAGCCTTACGAATTTGTACACAATCTGATTATTTAGCACACACTACACCTATTTTTAAAACATTGAAAACTCTCAAAGTAACTGATATGCACATTTTTCAAACAGCTATTTTTATGTATAAATATGTCTCCAACTTACTTCCTAAGTCCTTTCATGATTTTTATATTCATAATGTTAAAGCACATTCGTACCCCACGAGGCACTCTATGGATTTTCATTTAACTAACCCTAAAATTGTTTTGGCACAAAAATCAATAAGACACAATGGACCCGATGTGTGGAACTCCTTGCTTATAACATTAAAATTATGTACAACACTTGTTTCCTTTAAAGTGAAGATGAAAGAATATTTATTGATAAGGTATGAAAATTAGATTCTGGTCATAATATACTACATGTACTTTGTTTTAATATAAATATTCATTGTTTATTTGTATATAAAAAGGAAATTATTTGATAGATTGAGGAGCTCGCGCAGTGCACTCTTCATTTTCCACAGCACTCTCTTCACCCGCTCTTTCTTCCTGTCTCCTCTCCTCCTTTTGTAAGGCCGGTATCATTTCAAGCTCTGCTTACGATATAGGTCTTCTGCATTCTCCCCTTTTCTTTCTTTTCAAATACGATTAATTGTACTATTGATTATTTATATTTATTTATTTGTGAATTACTACTTGTATTACTTATCATTATATTGCTAAAATGTATTCATTGTTATTTTTGTTATTGTTTATGGAAAATGCAGAAATAAAACTTGAAACTGAAACTGACGTAAGACTGCGTCAACGAATGCGGTGCGGTCTTTGATGCGCAGTGTGAAAATGGCGTCGTGCACAGAATGGCTGCGGAAATTAACATTATCATTAAAAAAGTATCATATGGCGCATGGGCTAACTACTTAATTCACTGACTTGATTAGCCCAGGTAATTGACGCAATCAAAATTACGTCACGTGTGCAGCGGGCTTTACATTTCAAATCATTTCAACACCAAATTTATGAAGTTATAAACATTTTGTTATTTACTGTCAGATATGTTGCTAGATTTGGTACTTTATTGCCTTTCTACCACAACGTACCTGGAGCTCGAATAGGTCAATTTAAAGGACGCCCTAATAGATTACAGATTTGGATAGGTTTGTTCACTTGTTTTATGTACTTGTTTCTCTTGTTTGTTTGTTCGTTTGTTTGTTTGTCATAACTTAATGTAATTTACACCTAAACCACTTATTAACGGGACAGCTTTATCATTAGCAGCTTTACCAGAGCTGCCATCCAGCCCAACAGTCGGAGAGATCAGCTCGTCATCAGTCACTGTCTTCTGGAGCTCTTGGATACCTTTTATGGACGCCGGCGACGGACCAGTTGTTGGTTACCTTATCTATCAGCAAACCATGGAAGAGGAATGGATAGTGGTTGGCAGAATCGACTCGGGTGCGGGAGAGGGCGATCTTCAACGAAGAATGGAGTTTGTATTGAATGGGTTGGAACCAAGAACAGAATACAATATCAGTGTGTCTGCCGTCAGAGAAGGTCCCGGCGGAGAAGGACCAAGAAGTCCACTTGTGACTGTTACGACTACAACCCTCGGTGAGTGGTGATTAGACTAATATCGATGATGATTTCGTATACGTATGTAAACAGAAACATCCATTCATCAGCTAAAAACGAATTAGTCTTAATAGCCTCAGTTGTTCTATGTCGGTTGGTGGATTTGGCGGTCGGCCCTGTGTCCAATTAACATAAGCCATTAATCTTTTCCCGACTTTTACCTTTACACTATTGCCCCTACAACCGACCGACCCCCCCCCCCCCCCCCATACCACCTTGCGCTGAGCGAGGAGCCAGAGTAGGCTGGTAGGATTCTAAAAATAATTTCGTCGAGTAAAATTACCGGATCCTTCACTGATTATTGACTACGATGTTGCAATGCTCCTACAGTTACACTCGCTCTTATGACAATCATTGATTTGCCCTCGACCGTTGTACAGAACTTCTTAATCTGGTCTAAGTACTTTCCTAAATAACAATTATGCGCAACCTGGGATCTATGGCCAAGGAAACAAAAAGGACGTAGGGACCATTATATAAAATGCTTCTATATAAACGTTTATAGCATCTCTGTTGTAGCAATAGGTCTATTCCGCAACTAGCGATGAACTAATAAATCTTCACGATTAACGCTTATCTGTTCAATGTTGCAGAAAGTCGGCACCTGTGGGAAACTAGTGCTGTTTGGATGGTTTTATTGGTGATATCATTCTTGGGGAACATCATACTTGCTATTGCCGTGGGGATTGTATGGTAAGAATAAAAAACCTTTTAATTTCTCGCATAAGCGTAATGCCCTTTTCGAAAACGTTTTAAATGCAGAACGTGGATTTGAAATATTGACATTGTTTTTGTTAACTGTCTAATTCCTAATTTTAACTAGTTTATTCAATTCAATTCAATTCAATTTTATTTCATTCAGTTTAAAAAAAAAAAATTTCATATAACAACCAGCTATATAACATAAAATACACATTACGAACATATTTGACATTTGGACATAAAATAAACTGAATAGGTTGCAACCTGAAAGGAAAAAAGTAATCCTTATATAAAGGTTGACCCTTTTTTATAATAAACAAATATGAAATATATCCGTTACTAAACATTATACTATACTCAAATCAAGACAACAAACATACATACAACAAACAAATAAAATATGTCTTGAACTTAAATGATTATTGCAGTTTATCTAAAAGAAATTTCTTATACCTACGTTTAAAAACATTTACACTAACAGAATTATGAATATAATGGGGAAGAGTGTTCCATAAAAAGGGTCCTTGGAAAATAATTATTTTTTGGTTTAGTACTGTACGAGTCAATGGCAAGTGAAATTGTTTAGCATTTCTAGTATTATAACTATGAACATTACAGTTTAAAATAAACAATTTGGAAATAGAATCAGGGATAAGATTGTGGTGACATAAATACATAAATACATAAAATAAAATACAACAGAGCTGTCTCCAATCTATTGCTCTTGTATAGTCTGCATTGCAAAAAGTTATTTTAGGTAAAATAGTAACAACAATCATGTTTAATAATCTCATCATGTTAATCATAAACCTGAATATCTGCATACATAATTATGAAGCAAAATACCATTCTTGTATTCCCTCAAAGACATTGAAATGCAAAAATTGTTATACCTGTTTCTTTACACTAATAAGATTTGATGATTTGCCACTATAATGATGATAATGGTGATGATGATAATGATGATGATGATAATGATGATGATTGGGAAGATGGAGATGATGATGATGATAATGATGGGGAAGATGGAGATGAGGGTGATGATTATAATGATTGGGAAGATGGGGATGATGATGATGATAATGATTGGGAAGATGGAGATGAGGGTGATGATGATAATGATTGGGAAGATGGAGATGAGGGTGATGATGATAATGATTGGGAAGATGGGGATGATGATGATGATAATGATTGGGAAGATGGAGATGAGGGTGATGATGATAATGATTGGGAAGATGGAGATGAGGGTGATGATGATAATGATTGGGAAGATGGGGATGATGATGATGATAATGATTGGGAAGATGGAGATGAGGGTGATGATGATAATGATTGGGAAGATGGAGATGAGGGTGATGATGATAATGATTGGGAAGATGGAGATGAGGGTGATGATGATAATGATTGGGAAGATGGAGATGAGGGTGATGATGATAATGATTGGGAAGATGGAGATGAGGGTGATGATGATAATGATTGGGAAGATGGAGATGAGGGTGATGATGATAATGATTGGGAAGATGGAGATGAGGGTGATGATGATAATGATTGGGAAGATGGAGATGAGGGTGATGATGATAATGATTGGGAAGATGGAGATGAGGGTGATGATTATAATGATTGGGAAGATGGAGATGAGGGTGATGATGATAATGATTGGGAAGATGGAGATGAGGGTGATGATGATAATGATTGGGAAGATGGAGATGAGGGTGATGATGATAATGATTGGGAAGATGGAGATGAGGGTGATGATGATAATGATTGGGAAGATGGAGATGAGGGTGATGATGATAATGATTGGGAAGATGGAGATGAGGGTGATGATGATAATGATTGGGAAGATGGAGATGAGGGTGATGATGATAATGATTGGGAAGATGGAGATGAGGGTGATGATGATAATGATTGGGAAGATGGGGATGATGATGATGATAATGATAATGATTGGGAAGATGGAGATGAGGGTGATGATGATAATGATTGGGAAGATGGGGATGATGATGATGATGATAATGATTGGGAAGATGGGGATGATGATGATAATGATAATGATTGGGAAGATGATGATGATGAGGAAAATGGAGATGTTGATGGTGATGATGACGATAGTGATTATTCACTATTTCTGTCTGTCTTTTCTAAATCGACCACCAGCAAGCGAAAACAGAAGAAAGAAGACCTGTCTCGTTTACATGCCGTCACATCAGCAGGCGATCCACAGAGCCCTCATTACGAGCTACCCCAACCAAGTGTAGTCACGCAACATGCCTACCAGGACCTCAAAGGAACGGGGATCAGCAACATCAAAGAAGAGTTTTACACTGACACCGATGATCCAGAGATATTGAAATACGTCAATATGTAATCTGGACTCCAAAAGTACTGATTCAGGACTATATGTCGACGACACGCGTGGTATTTGACTCGCAATGAAGTGCCATCGTACAAGGAGTGGATGAAAAGTTGGTATCTCACTGCGAAGTGACAGCTCGCGACTTGTATAAATATTGATTTGATCTGCTCGCACATTCGCTACATGCTTTCACAGGGGGGGGGGGGGGGGGGGGGGGGGGAGGTACGCACTCTACCTTCCCGGGAGTGTATTTTTGTTCATCTTTTTTATTCATTTATTTATCGAGGTGATCTATTTAAGAGTCATTTAAAAAAAATCTCATTTGGTAACCAAATTGATTTTTGTATACAATTACAAATATAATTTCCTCTCGCTCGCAAGATTTAGATATGAGGTTATAAACGAGGATAGGTATTTGTGCGAATGTAGGTATAGTAGGGAACAGAAAATGGAACACCTTTTGGTCCTCATGTCCCCACCTACCCCCCGGAATCTGGAAAATCCCGAATACCTCCATTTCTCTCTCTCTCTCTCTCTCTCTCTCTCTCTCTCTCCCATTCTCTCTCTCTCCCCTCTCTCTCTCCTCTCTCTCCTCTATTTTTCCTTCTCTCTCTCTCTCTCTCTCCTCTCTCTCTCTCTCTCTCTCCTCTCTCTCCTCTATTTTTCCTTCTCTCTCTCTCTCTATCTTTCTTCTCAGTTGTCTTCCTCTTTACTTTTGTCTCTTTCTTCCTTCCCTCTTCGTATCTCCACTAACCCTATGTCTTAAAGGTTTTATTCTATTAAAATCATGCAATGCACTATCCTATTGTAAATCTGGTGTATGTATCATGCCATTACATGTGACAATGTGTAGTGTCTTGTAAATGTATATATTATAACATTCGTACTATATTACTCTTACATAAGTATAACTTTGTAATGATAGTGTTAACAAATTTATGTAAAATAGCTCGGTAAATAATTTTGGTGTTATTGTCTTGAAAGAGAACGTTCAGCCTGTTCTATCGATCAAACATTTCACCAATTAATTAGTGAATAAAAAAGTAAACTGTGTGCATTGCCACCGTCATCATCATCATCATCATCATCATCATCATCATCGTCACCATTATCATCACTACCATCTTATATATACACCAAGGCCCGGATCCTCGGGGGGGGGGGGGGGTTCCATCCCCACTCTCTCCCAACATAAAAGGGGGAATGGTATTACCACAATTTTACCTTTAAAAAAATACTCTTCTTTAATCCCCCACCACTTATTCGCCGGCTGATTCGCCGCTAAATATGTTCTCATGACAAATAAAAGTATTGCTCCTTACCCACTCCCCCCCCCCCCCCCCCATTATTCGCCGGCTGGCTGATTCGTCACCCCGAAATGGCAAGGAGGCATGAGCACTTTAAGTGAATCCACTATTATTATTTTTATCATTATCATTATTATTATCATTATTAAGCTGCTGTATCCCATACGCAATACCTCAGCTCCCTCCTCCTTCCCACCCAACCCCCTCCTCCAAACCATCTCTACATATACCGATTCTTTTCCATTAGGGGTAATGTAATGTCTTGTTCGGTCTCTATTCGTTCTGGTTCCGGTCTGGTGTCGATCTCCTTGGTATGACTGAGGTTTCACATCTAAGATTTGAGTGTATCTGATCGCGATAGCTCAGTGGTCTCGTAATCCGGTGACCCGGGTTCGAAACTAAGTCTATTCCCCTTTGGTAAGGCATTAAACCTCATTACCAGGTCCCTCGGAGAGGACCTAAAGCCGTCGGTCTAAGTTTGGTTTGACGGCTTAGCTTCCTTTGAATCTCACGCCGTACGTCATTTAGATATACATTTATTATATGAGTGATTCGTGACAGCATAGTTCTGCGAACATTTTGTGTTAATAATCTGAGACTTAATTTAGCTGGACTGTTTGTGAAATGTATATAATAAGATACATCTTTCACAATAATCTTTGGGGGTGTTTCACGAAGATCCTAAGTCGAACTTATCTCTAAGTTGGATTTAACAAATATGGAATGCTGTTAGCAGCTTTGCAATAATTTGTAAAAGATATTTTAAAAGGCATAAAATGTTGATTCAAATCATTCATATTTTCCATTATGGCTCTCCATAATTTTTAAGTCCAACTTAGAGATAAGTTCAACTTAGGATCTTTGTGAAACACCCCCTGGTCTTTTACTTTTACAAGTATGGTAAACATGTTTTTGATACTTGTAGGTACCCCTAAAAAGAGGAAATGCTGATTATGTGCATTTTTGTCTTTACCTTATGTAATGGTCACTATGGTTTCTTCGCTGTCAATTTGGCTTTTCTGGTCATAATCTGAAAGTTGCATTTGCAAATGCAAATTACATTTCAACTAAGCGTTTCTCAAATAAAAAAATACAATAACATATGGTCGATTGGTGTGTATATTCAATCATGTACAGTATGTTGTACGTGGATGTATTTAAAAAATGTACATGTATCATGGTTTAGATTTACGTACGTGTGTGTTTGTCTGTATGTTTGTCTGTGCGTGTGTGGTGTGTGTGTGTGTGTGTGTGTATTGGAATTGCTAAGAGAAACGAGATGCAGAGTGAAAATAGTAAAACAAATTCAGTTTACAACGCTTGATGGAATATACAAAAGGCATGGATTGAACTGAACAAGCGCTTTCGATTTATTCTCATCAGGTCATAAAAAGTGCTTGTGAACTTAAATCCATGCCTCTTGTATATTCCAACATTAAGTGTGAAAGAATAAACTATCTACTATACATCACTTTATTGATACTTCAGCAAAAAAGGAACTGAGAAAGTAAGAGAAAGTAACAGCCCCCAAAAAGGAGAACATAATAAGATGATCCAATGACTTGACCTGATTAGTGGTCATGATTGTTCTATAACCCTTTCTATTTCCATTGCGAAACCAATTAATGACGAGCTGATTAGAACTAAATCACTTAAATTACTGGTCTGAATGAGCTGTAGATACTGTCGTTAAGCCAGCAATGGTATTTATTCGTAATAAAAAAAACCTATTTGCCTCACGAATACAAAAACTCGAACTGCACTTTTGGTATAATTTGATTGACGTTGATATACAATAGATCATTTTGATAAGCATATAAAGTAGTTGACTTTGCTGATTCATTTTAGTTTTGATATGACTAACGTGCTTGCGAAGATATTGCCACAACTAGCGCCTGGAGTACCGCGTCTATTCAAGAAACCAAGCATTGGAAATAAGTGTTATCACTAATTTGATTTTAACAAACAGCTCAGTGAACTTGTGGAGAACGATCATAATGGTTTATCTCACGATGGATTCCTTGACGCGAACACTTTTGTTCTTGATAGTAATATTTTTGGGAGGTATCGTGCAGAATGTAAGAGTGGATATCCCTCTCCGTACACCGCAGCCAAACTATAGCTGCCCAGTCAAGCCTCCTCACGTCGCTAAGTGCACTCGTCTCAATCTAACCTCAGTACCCCAAGACCTTCCGCACGACCTGCTGCTCTTATTCATCCATCATAACCAAATAACAAAACTTGGAAACAGGTCTTTCATTTATTACAACCGTGTCACAACATTGGAAGCTGGTTATAACATCATAGCTTTAATTGAAGGTGGAACATTCGAACCTCTACCACAATTGCAGGTCTTGAAATTAGATCATAACCTAATTACCTTTTTACCCATCTATTATCTTCAGAAGAATGCTCATTTAGTTATAATAAATCTATCACACAACCTGATCAGTGAAATCTCTAGCACTTTGGTGAGTGCTCAAAAGTGTCGAAACTTAAATGGTTGGCGGAATATGTCGGCAGTTAATCTATCCTTCAACAAACTTACAACTATAAATGAGAATGACTTTTTACCTTGGAGAAATTGCTTTGTCAATAAGTTCAATATAAATGATAACCACGTGTCGTTCCTTCAACCTAAGGCTTTTCGATATTTGCCCAAATTAGGTATTCTGAACATGAACAAAATCAACTTAGCGACTTTCGACGTCGAGCATTTCATGTGCCATGTTAAAATCGACAGACTTGTGATTGATTCTTCAGGCATTAAGTACATTCGTCCAGCGAACATATCGTCGATGCAAAAAGCAAATGTGCCACTGATTAAAGAACTTTATTTAAATCTAAACATCTTACAAGACATTCCAAGGTATGCTCTGCGTGGATTTGAAAAACTACAGGTCCTGAACTTTCAAGGGAATCGTATTTCAAGCATCAACAATGAATCATTTTGTGGTTTACATTCACTGTTAGACCTCAGTTTGTCTTGGAATAAAATAAAGTCACTTCCCCGCGCCTCGTTTGCTTGCGCAACGAATCTCCAGAAAATTGATTTGTCACGTAATAACCTCGCGATATTGGATCCCCAATGGTTTGACGGATCCTGGTTTCTCCGTACCCTGATGATAGATCAAAGTGGCATCGGTCGCATCGCGTTTGGACCATGGAAGGCAACTAATCTTCAGACTCTTGTTCTAAACAGAAACAATATGGGTTTCATTAATAATTACACCTTCACTGGCTTGGCAAACTTGAAAAAACTTGATGTTTCTGGCAATGAAAATCGTTTTCGGATGTCAGAGGACGCACTCACTACAGTCGGTTCCTTGGAATTCCTCGTCATGGCGGATGTGGGAAAATTTACCATGAAAGGCTTGTTTAGAAATATGCAAAATCTATCTAATCTGGATATCTCATATAACCGGTTGGAAATTTTATCAATTGACCAGTTTACGACCACATCTGCGCTAAGGGTTCTCAATATGTCGGGATCCCATCTCAAAGCTGAGGATTTAGTTGATAAACAGACAGGGACATCGTTGTTCTCAGGCTTGGTCTCCTTGCGGACCCTTAAACTACGGCGAAACTCCTTAGCTACCCTACACGCTCTTCCTGGCATATTCACCTCACTTGGAAGTCTTGTTGAGCTAGACTTAACATATTGTCATATTCGACAAGTTGCCTCAGGAACATTTGCAAACTTAACGACCCTGCTTCAGCTTAGTCTGCAAGACAATGAACTAACCAGCGTTCCGAGGGACGCTTTTCAAGGTTTGCACAAATTACAGGTGTTGCAGCTGCAGTACAATTCGATTGCGTTCATTGAGCAAGAGCTGTTTATGGGCACAAATGAACTTAAGGAGTTGTACTTGCAAAATAATCAAATTTCGACCGTAGCCTCCTATACTTTAATGCCGTCAAGTTTGATTAGACTCAATATCGCAAACAATCCCTTAACATGCGATTGCCAACTCGCCTGGTTCAGACAATGGTTGAACGAGGTTGAAGGAAAAATACATTTTGCTCCAGAAAACCAAACCCGTTGTTCTCGCAGTTCCTTAAAAGTGTTGGTCAATCAAATAATTTGGTCGTTCCATCCGAATGAATATTGTGGAATCAATGCCATGATTATCGTTTCCGCATGTTTTGCGCCGATCTTAGTTTTAACCATCGGTATACTCGTGTATCTGAACCGATGGTGGATAAATTATAAGTTGTATCTCCTCAAGTTGGCCATCGTTGGTTACCATGAGATCACTGAAGATCAAACTCCGGACGACTATGAATTTCAACTCAACCTCATGTTCCATGAAGGAGATGAGTGGTGGGTAAATGACTGCATGAAACCTTTTCTGGAGCAGAGGATGCCTCATCTGGAGCACGTCATATTTGGTGATGCCGATCTTCATCCAGGATTATTTTACTTGAACGCCATATACGACGTCATCGAAAACAGCCACAAGACAATATTGTTGCTAAGCAACCCGTCTGTGGATGATGCCTGGTACATGACCAAGCTCCGTATGGCAGTGGAGCACATGAATGACACCAAGTTGGAGAAGGTCATCCTGGTTTTCCTTGAAGACATCGATGATGACCATCTACCGTACCTTGTTAGGCTCTTGCTGAGCCGGAACAAGCCTTATTTGTTGTGGACAGAGGATGAAGAAGGTCAGGAGGTCTTCTGGGCAAAGGTTCAGAAGAGCATGAGATCAAATCGGCAAATGAACAATGTTATACCCGTTTAAAAAGAAGTTTGAGTTCTGGTCCTAAGATTACAGTGTGATTTAAACTGTCCGGAAGCAATTAGCATGATTAGGAAAGGTTGATTATTGTTATACAAGGTAACACACAGAATTGGTGTATACTGTGATGTTTTGAAATCATGCAAATGATAAGAAAATCGAACAGTTGTGCTAAAAGTCTTTAGCAATGAATACCATGAACACAGACGTGTGTGTGTATGGAACTTCAAAAATATATAGCATGGCAGGTTAACTTGTCCAAACACTTCAGCTATTTATTGTGATATTTTTAATATGAGGGCATTTGAAGAGCAACCCTTCTCGGGTGACATTTCTACGGCGATATACTTCCAAAGTTACTTTAAAAAACGAGAAAGCTTGCAATTATTTTCTCATATTTGCGAAAACTCAACCTTTTCGTGGATTGTACATACGTATGGTACGGGGTGTGACCATAGTTCGCGCGTGACCTTCACTCGCAGAAAGTTCCATATCTCTAAATATCGGTAAGATTTCGATATTTTGACATCACCAATGGAAAGAGAAACATAAAGTTACCTAATTTCGAAATTGGGTTTGAAATTATGAAATTATTGCACAATAGATCGGCAAATTGTTCAGTCTTTTGCGGCTTTCCGAAAAGAAAAGAACTTAAAGACAAGGTTTTGGAAATGTTCATTTTGACAGACAATGTCATCAAAATTTTTAGTAAAAAGTGAAATCAACAGATTGTTTGATATATTGACTTGCAATTTATGCAATTACCTTACCTTTGATGAGCTGCTTTTTTGATAAATCCCTTGATTTATTGTGTGCGAATTAAGTTCTCGTTGCTTGTATGACCTTTACTTTATTCCAATCAGGCATCCAATTTTGAGATCGCAAAATCGCAGGAATTCTTTAGACGATAATTTTTCTAATTGATTCTACATGTAATTTTAATATTTGGACATTACTTTGTAGATTCCGATGCAGGTCACACCGCTTACAATAATGACAGGTTTGAAAATAATCCCGAAGAAAGTAAAATTGAATGTCCTTGTTGTAATTTAAAGGTTTCTGGAGATGAATTTCACTATATTTCTGTCTTCCCTTTTTTCAAGAAAGAAAGGCAGTTATACTTCTATCGACAGTTTGTTGTGAGTAACCCTTTTACATTTCACATGGACAAATTGTTTCACATATCTAACGTTTAACAATTAAGAAAACTCGTAAAATTCATAACAGTAATAATACAATTATTTTCGTTGGATCCTAAGGCTGAGAGGCATGGTCCTGTTTTTGTTAATAAAAGTGTAATTACTCGTAGTGGTAGACAAACCAAACCACTTGATATTTTAGACTTATAACTATAAACTGTATAATATATACTTAGTCTTTAGCTCATGTATATTGTGTTTTAGAAATATAAAAATGTATATATCATGTCTATGTGTTTTATTATCATATTTTACTTTGTTTTATATATCTTTCTGTATTGCATTGTAAATATGTTGTGCTCTCATAGCCCCGAAGGGGATCGATAGAGTAAAAAAAAAAATAATAATCTTATAAATATTATCTTACTAATTGATCTAAATTAATTTGTGTATAATATGAAAAAACTATGGATCGAATATGTTATTCCTTTGCTTTAGAATGTACGCGAACTTTGGACACCCCATCTTCCATCCCTTGCCATGTGCCTGTGATAGGGAAAGTTTGTGTAGGCCAACTGTTGATTACCATTGAAAATTCTTCTTGAAGTTATAAATTCGAAAATGTGTTACTCATTATGAATTTCGAGTTTCATCTTTTGATTTTACAGTTTCCTTCATGAAATATGTGCTTGTAATTGGATTTTGGTGCATCATATTAAGAAACGTGCCAAAAAGACGAACGGCGAGTTGCGACTACAACATTATTTTTAATCCACGTCTATCTCACTATCCATATTTGATTACTTTTTTTTTTTCGTTTTTTGCATTTTTGTATCGGTAACATTGCAAATATTTTTAGCTCGGACTCAAACGTTTCATATGATTTGGCAAGTGGGACATGGAAGAGACTGAATTTCCAACGGCTGTGTAGATGTGGCTGGGTTCGGGAAGAGAGGGGGATTTGTGGAGTTTGGGAAGTTTTTGGTATGTAGGGAGAGGGTGGATAGGTTACATTGTATGCGTGTGTGTGTGTGTGTGTGTGTGTGTGTGCGTGCGCGTATGCGTGTTTAATGATAGTCAATTTCCTCTCGTCTGTGAAACTGACCATGTCTATTGTTCATTTTAATTGCTTGTTCACGTATATAGGCCCTATGTATTTGAAAAATAATTAAATCGATCAATAAAGTTTTTATATATACATGTATATATATATATAAACACAAGGTAACCCATTATTTGGTTAGTTCTAATATAACGAAAACACTAAACAAATAGACAAAAAACAAGGAAACAGACACACCCACACCCCTACCCACAAAGAGATGTGAGAATGCGTCGGAGAGAGAGAGAGACAGAGGGAGAGATATGAAGAAAGAGAAAGTGCAAGTAAACAGATAAATGAAGAGTCACCGAGTGTAAGCGAGACAGACATACACACACACACACACACGCACGCACACACACACACGCATGCCTACACAGAGATGGTGAAAGAGAGGGAAGATGTGGAAAGGAGATAGAGCTTTACACTTAAACAATTTTACATAAACATCAATGAAGCTAGCCGAAATGCCGAATAAACTTTCATTTCCACACTTGCATTCTTGTATTTAACATATTTGTATAACTATACACATATTTTAATGACAGAAAATATACAACTCCAAAAGGAGCTACATCATGTATAATGATTCAATGAATACAATTATGATACCAATTAATGACCTTTGACTCGGATGAGAAACACTTTTCCTCAATTTTATTACATGTGGTCACCTCTCCCAAGTAAGTTATAATGGTAACTTACCATCTCTCATAAAAACGCACTCGTTGCCTGTGCAAGTGGCATTGTATTTTCTTATAAAGGCCTAGCGTACTCCATGTAAGGATCACAATAATTGTTTGGACGAGGGACCTGTTTCAAAAAGTCTTTTTTCAATGACAAATGAAAAATATCAGTGAAAAATCTGCTGATAACCAATCAGAAGCAAGGATTTCAGTAGTTTACAACAAAAACTTTCATTTGTCAATGATGACAAGTTTTCTGAAACACCCTCCAAAAGGGTATTAACTTTTTGTCAATTGATACAAGTTCATGCCCTCTGTCTCCAAAGGGATAAAATACAATATAACTCTGTGCGCCTTTCGGGATATTTAAGGAACTAAAGTACATTTTAACATGATCGTGAAAGTTATAGGATTGTCATCAATTTGACTACCGGTAAGAATGTGAGAAAAGGGATGTCTGAAAGTTTCAAGTTTCAAGATAATTCTGCATTTTCTTATTTTTGTCATAGCATAATTGTATGAATGACCATAAACAAATTATAGACATCATCACAACTCAAGGAGCAATATCAAAGGACCTCTATACCACTATCACGGACCATAATCTTACTTTCCATCACCTTTTAGAATATTTTTTTGAAATGCATAATTCAAAGTTATTTATAATGTTCCTTGCACAACATTTACTTGCCAAATTCAGTTTACTTGAAAATCAGCGGGAAAACAATTGACAAGGATTACTGAATCAGAGGAGTACAAAATATTACATGGATAATGATATAAAATGTGCTTCTTAATTTCTTAAATACCATTTGTATCAAAAAGCTAGGTTTAGCTAAGTTACTGATTGTAATTTCCCTTATTCAAAGGAAATTCTCCCAATTTGACATTCTTAAACTTTACACTATTAATCACAGTCTAATACCAGTCTTGGCTTTTGAGTCATTTATGATTTGTTCTTTCTTAACAGAAAGCACATTAGCTGATAAATAACTGATAAATCAATTTCTCATCATTCATTTCGTTACTTGATTTATTGTTTCTCTTCATTCGGTTAGAGAATTATGGTATTTTGTTTAGAATAAACAGTTTGACACTTCATGCATAAATCAGCTGACATCGATCAGATTTACACTGTGTTAATCTGGTACCAAGTTTTAACTTTTGAGTATTCAAATCAATGATCAAATTGTTTTTTTGTGAGGAGTTGTTTCTTTATTTACATCTAGTATCTCCAAACAGGTTTCAACCAATCAGTTAGATTTTTGGAGACCAGTTGCAAATCACTTCTTAAGTGATCAATCTCATTATCCCTGATGAGAAAGGCTGATTTCTGTTATACTGATGTGCAGACATGGGACTTGATTATTCCAACAAAATTGAATTGAGATGTTGATCTCATCTGATGGAACATAAATGCAAAATGACAAAATAACACAAAGTGGCAAGAAAATAAACAGTTCATTATGATGACAGTCTTGGGTGCTTCTACATGTAGTAAGAATGTGTATCATGATTAACTGACAGTTGATTAGGATTATTAAATGGGAAGCATGAAAAGGAGAGATGTGAATCAGTGAGAGTTTGAGGAAAGTCTGAAAGGATAAGTTTGAAGTTTTGATTAATCAAACACAAACTGGCTACATTGCAATTAGCCTTGCAAGCACTTCCTTCATTTTGTCTGTACTCAAAAAATTCTCCAAAAACATTTAATCCAAATTATACCCTAGATATATATTTGGACACAATTTTACATTTCCCTTCTATGAAAAAGATGAGCTATTATGTTTTGTTTTATTACGTACGAACCATTCCAGAGAGGTGCTCACATGGTAAATCACAGAGTTGCCAATTTGATTGCTAACTTGTTTTACTGATTACAACTTCAACATTGCATATCTTTCCATGCCATATTGGATTTATCTCAATCTTCCACTGATCTGTTATTTTCTAGAGCATCGTTTCTCTCACTTTTAAGCGCCCATGACTTCATATCAGGTTGAATTTTACACTCTTCTCATCTTTTATAAGAATCATCAAATCGTTTGTTTGGGCCAAAAGGGCGTTTACTCTGTTTTATAGTATAAGAGTTAATGTCCTTCTTGCTCTCAAATATATATAAAGGCTGTTACAACTTTATTCCTGTAATGATGAAGAGTGCTGATTATGACCAAGCTCTTCATCTAGAATCAAATCACACTACCTGTATTAAAGTAATAAATATAAAAGTCGTGAAAACATTTTGTATCTACAAGTTTGCAGGAGAAAGTAACAGAGATAACGAGAAATAATAATATTTACATACGACAAGAGATAATAAATAAATGAAGTGTGTGCATAGAAAACAAGTAAATTGACAATAAATGCTCTCTCAACAACTTGAGCAATTGATTATTGATTATCAACTGACGAATACAAACTTCTTATTGTGGAATGCTGTACTAGTACAAGCACACACTAATCATACAAGTAGAAGCACCTTGTCTTTTATATTTTTTATATCTTTTTCATCTAAATATTCTTATATTTTCAAAGGTTGATCGACACATATCACGTGGGAGTAGAACTATTACCCCATTGCCTATGTGAACTAAACAGCCCTCTGGATGAAATATATGTCAAGTATAGAATTTGGTAGTCTTTAATTCATTAGAAAACCGAATAGCTTCCGACGGACAGAACAGTAGAAATAGGGGTATCCAATGCAGTTTGGACGATCCAATCTGCTTTGAATCACAAATGCATATCTCAAGGGGGTATGATTCTTAACCAACTGCCTACCTGAACCAAACAGCCCCTGGATTAAATCTATAAGAAGTACAAAACTTAGTGGCTTTGACTCTTTACTAACAAATCATAGCTTCTGACGAACAGAACAGTAGGAATTGGGGTATCCATTGCAGTTCAAACAGTTCCACCTGGCTTTGAGTCACAAAGACATATCTCAAGAGGGTTAATGGATAATGGACATCCTTGATCTGAAATTACATAGCCTTGTAAATTCACAGGAAACAAATTGTTCAAGCATATCCATCACATTCTGGATAATCCAACTTCCTTCACTCTCCAAGATTGCCACAGACAATCGATATCTTATGAGACTGTGTAGTTGGTGGCTTTTCTTATACATGTACATGTAGTATCTACATGCCTTGTAAAAGACTGTACATGTCAAAAAATGGTGTCCATATGTACATGCATTATGTACAAGAGTTTGCAAAACTATGCGTAGCATCAATTTATGGAGGGTTTCACATTGTTCTCCCAGTCGGCCTCGAACGTCGGCCATTTTGTCCGCAGGCAAGATTTAAGGGGTGTGGCTTCTGTGAGGACCTCCAGCTCACCAGGGTTGGGGGCGGAGCCTCTTCCTTTAAGGAACATTACCTAGCCGGAAGAAAGAAAATTGAAATGGAAGAAATTAAACTAGTATTCCCATGTTCATAGTAAAGAAAATATTCAGCAACATATGTTTTTAGCAAGAGATGCTTTTAAGAAGTTACTTAACAAGTTATTAGAGCAGACCGACTTGCGTGATATTTGGTGTCCTCTCTTCCAAAAGCTTTGTGTCCGTTCAACTTTTTTTCTTGTGGATTTTTAAGTTAACTTATTATAATGGCAGGCATTCATAAACATGCACTTGCTTTAGTCCAGATTAAAACATTGAAGAAATTTGCTTTGTTACTGTATATGGAACACTGAGTGTTAATCACTTCATCCCATAAATATTATACAAATCTGTAAATAAATGAAAAACAGAATCAAGTCATGATGAAATCAATTTCTCATTATTCATTCCCAGACTGGATTTATTGTTTCTCTTCATTTTTGTTACAGAATGATGGTATTTTGTTCTGAATAAACAGTTTGACACTTTGTGCTACATTGAACATAAATCAGTGGAACAAGTTAAATCAGGTTCAAATCAATCCATATATAGGATTAACCAGCCAATGAGTGAGTTCAGACAGAGGCATGAAATCTTGTAGATGGAGAGAAAAACAATTCCTAATTTGACCAAATATATCATTAACCGTTACCTTTGAATTGGGATTGGATCTGCTTATGCCATTGTAATGATACACTGTGAAGTACTCCGGCAATAACCTGTCAGGCTGGCGGCATTGAAAGAGAAAAAAATTGTAAAAAAACAATTAATTTCTTCTTAAAAATATTGTTTAATATCCAAAGAGTGGTGAAAAATTAAAATCAAGTTGTGATCATTATCATTGCTCACTGGCATTTAATGCAGACATTACACATTGCTTCGTTTGCACGAAAAATTGTAGATTAGTTTATTAATAAAATAAGCTTTAATCACAAAATACAACCCTGGTATTAAAAATCATAAATATATACAGTGAAACCAGCTTTAGAATCACTTGACTGGAAGACTACAAGTGCATTAAGGCTACATTTTTGTTTGGGTTTCCCTTGAACAAGTTGCCTAGAAATTAAAGCCTGAAATAGAATATCCTGTACAGAAAGACCACCTGCTGATAAAGAATTGTCTTCTCTTGTTCTACTTGAGCAATCTTTATACACAAGTTGCACTAGTGTGGATATTCAATCTGTTGTATCAGGAATTAATCTTTCTATGACATAAAATAAAGAAGTAATTTATCTGGATGTAACATACGAGAGATTCCTAATGATCTAAACCATCCTGATTAAATTTGAAATGATCGACATGTTTCATTTTAGTACCTCATCAGGGAAGAACTCTGCCATGAACATGTTCTGAAGGACAATCCCACACTTCTCAGGGTCTAGACGCTGTGTCATGAACTCAACACTGCAGCGGATGGAAAAAAAAGAAGGAATATTTTACAAAGTTGGAAATGAAGAACTGATTGGATTGATCATGCAATATAATTATAAGTCCTATAATTAAACGATCCTAACGCACTACTCAACAACTCATAATGCTCTCTCAATCAATAATGATTTCATATTCAAAGTCAAATGATAAGTTGACTTGTCTTATAATACAGACTCATAAGTGCGTTGAACTGAGAATAGGACACTTTTCATTATAAGGGGGGGGGGGGGGGGGGAGAAGCAAAATGCAGTTTTTTTTATTTTATTTGGTTACCATAACTTTAAAGTAAAAAGAAGTTTATCTTCCCTATTCACACACACACAATGATAAATCTATCTTGCTGATTATTTTTTAGTCTTTGTAAAATCTAATCTAGTTACAAATCTGTGGTTAAGGTATAAAGAGTACCTTGAGGTTTTACAGGCAATATAACTCCAGTAACAAGTGGTCAGGGCATAGAAATAAGAACAAAATGTGCTTACTATTCTGGTACATTTATTTCTAGAGCCTCAAAGGGAGTATGGCACACTGGATGTGGCACACTACTCACAGAAAACTCTTCTTGCATTCTCCCATTTTCTTTTAACTAGAAGTTACAGCAAATTCTTTCCAAAAAATTCCCCTCAAACTTTTCAATTTATTTCAGTTCCCAAAGCATTCATAGCATAATGTAAAGCAAAGATTAAAAAAAACAAAACATATAACAATAATATAAACAAAATATACATACACATTTGAGATAAAGAAAATGCTTCCAACTTTTTGTTGAAAGAATTAACTGACCTGCAATTCAGAGATATCATTGGGGATGGAGTTCCAAATCACAGGGAAATTATGTCGTACTGATTTCATTACCTTATTTGTTTTTACTGGCCATAAGTGAAAAGACGGATATTGTGACTATTGTGATTATTAACCTGATGCCTACTAGAACCTGGAGATTCCTACACTAAACCTCAGGGGACAGGGAAAATTCAGTAGTTAATGGGTTAATAAGGTTTAAAAGGATAAAGTTTGCTTACTATTCAGGCACAGCCACTAGTTCAAGTGCCTCCAGGACATTTTGCAGCATGGCACACTGGATGAAGCCGCTACCTTCTGTATCGTACTCACTGAACACTCTTCTCGCTTCCTCCCATTTGGTTTCTGTAGCGACCAGCGCTAACTCCTACAAGGAGAGAAAACAAAGAATGATAATAACGGTAATAATATGCTGTTCTTGTATAGCATATATAAAGTCAAACCTGTCTATAGCGACCGCCCAAGGGAAACAAAACAAGTGGTCTTTGTAGACAGGTTCCTTTACTACATGTTTCAATGAGAAACCATTTTCAAGGGAAACAAAAAATGTCGTCTTTGTAGACAGGTGGTCACTAAAGCATGTTTGACTGTATCAAGTTATGATACAGTCAAACCTGTCTATAGTGACCGCCCAAGGGAAACACAAAAAGTGGTCTTTGTAGACAGGTGGTCTCTGAAGACAGGTTCTTTTAGTACATGTTTTAATGAGAAACTTTCAAGGGAAACAAAAAATGTGGTCTTTGAAGACAGGTGGTCACTTAAGCAGGTTCAACAGTAATATGCTGTTCTTGTGTTGCATAAATAAAGTTATGATATAACTTCTTTATAAAGGATTTTGGATATAATTACCACAGCTTTTTGTACCACGATTTTCACATATAGGAAACTTTTTGAGAGAGATTCTATTTGTGAAAGTTTCAAATAACTGAATCACAGCCAACACAACACTCCAATTTTGCGATTCATGAGAGTTTTATTTTGCGAAAATGAACACTGTTTACATTGCTCAACACATAAGTTTCTTGTTTTACATTACATCAGTTAGCTGGAGGTCGGCAGAAGTAGAACCGCACTGGTCGTGGCCATAGCATATTGAGAGAGATAGTTGCGAAATGCGTATCCATGCATATGCAAGATGGGTCATAGGTTAAATCATGTTGCTCCCAAAAGTTCTTTCCCACTCACAGTCTCTATAATAATAATAATTTGGATTTATGTAGCACTTAATACAGTACATCGTCTCTAAGCGTTTAACAAATATTGTTATCCCTGTCATCGGATTTATTCATGCACAATGTGCACCATCTCCACTCCCTGGGGAGTATTCCTACAATATGGTCACCATGAGGGCGTAGACAATTACTAACACAAATGCTTTCGTCATCCTATCGGGTCCCCATTTCTCTCCTGGGTATCGATTGGCAAATGAAGATTAATACATTGCCAAAGGACATTAGTGCCGTGTCAGCGATCGAACCACGACCTTTGAACTGCAAGTCAAGTGCTTAAACCACTCGACTGCGACATCTGTGAGAGGGAACTATTTTGGAGCTTCATACAAATTTGCCTGACGAATCAGAAGCAGCTTCCTGTGATGCAACTGTGGTCTTGACCAAATCACCGGTAGATTTTTTTTTCTTTCTGACTGTGGAACTCCTTACCATCTGCTGTCGTCGATTGCACCTCTTTGGAACTTTTCAAGCAGAAGGTGCTACACATTAAGCTCTGTTGAGCTTCAGACTGTTTTTTAGCTGCACATAGAATTCTTGTAGAGCCTTTTTACTTGCACTGTACACTCGGCACTTGACAAGCACAAGGCACGATAATACGCCAACGGCGGACTGTACTATACTCGAAGAAGAAAACAACTTACTCTGGAGAAGAATACTGTGAGGTGAGTTTCACTGGCAAGCAACCAGATAGGGTAGTTAGGGTTCTTTAACAACGTTCCAACCTACATGAATAAAAAAAAAATTGTAGACATGTATCATGAAAATAGTTATAAAATGATTATAAAATTAGATACAAGTTATAAAATTAGATATAACATAACGACAGGTGTCCATATGAAGAAAAATTATGGAAATTTACATTCTTATTCTATATCCACGAGTATTCCCAAGACTGAAAGCCTTTACAAACATTGCTTGGAAACTCATGTATATTTCTAAATAATTTTCATACATTAAATTAAGCAAAGTAGGAGAACTTGGTATCATTAGAAAGGGTAATCAATTTTGCTACAACTTTTGTACACAACATTTTGTTATATATGAACAATGGGTAAAAAAGGACAGATGTTTGAAAAGAAAGCATTGTCCATGTTTTGGTAACATCTTGAAACAACCCCTTGGCACATTAAAGGTTAAGTCCACTCCAAAAATAATTTGATTTTACTAGATACAGAATAACAAGAGAAACAGATTTTTTTAAAATTTAGTAAAATCGGATAACTAATAAGGAAGTTATGAATTTTTGATAAAGTATGAAAAACTATGGAACAATGAAAATCACTACACAAATTGCCAATTTGGTTATCAGTTTGTCATGTCATTGCCTCACTATTTATCAATTACTTGATATACTTTTATCCCATAAATTTTCCTTTTTATCCCCAAAATCTTGATTTCCCCATGCCTTTGCACAGGTTATATGATTTGTATCATATTGCAAGCATGACATTTTACGAAATCTTTCATTAACTTTGAAGAATTGATACTATTTTCTGAATATTGTATTATTCATATTAATTGATTTGTATATAAATAGTTCTGATGATGTCATACTTACTTCACAATACTTGAGATTCTCTAGGATTGTCAGGAACCCAATCAATGACTGTTTAGAGATACCTTTCATTTCTGAAATAAAATTCAATCGATAACATCAGTTCAATTAATTACCTCAGTATTCATCTAATTGCCTTTAAAATACTATATGTTTATGTCATTGATGATGTCATTGATGATGAATTGTTATCACTCTTAATACTGAGATAATATTTACCTGTGGAATACAACAGTTACTTGTACATTTTTCACAAAGGAACATACAAGCGTGAGAAAAAACTTAATGGGTTAACAAACTAATCATTCAAGAAAAATAGGATTATCTATACCCAAGTAAGAAAGCTAAATTCTAAACTATCTGACGGAAATTTTGCAGGGTAGGGTGTCCCTCAAAAAGGGGCCCAATAGTAGTAGTGTATTTCACTAAATTATATAAATTTGAATTTGTTTATGCAAGAGGAAGAGGATTATTATATAAATTATTCACATAATCTTGTAAAATAAGGTACCAGTAAAACTTACGTAGACCAGCTACATCTTTCTCGTGATCAAAGACATTTGAAACAGCCCGACCAGTCACCATCAGGTTTATCAAGCATTGGCTGCAAATTACCAACAAAAATAGAAAAACATTTTAAAGAAAACCAATCACCAACAAATATTTTTACCCTATATGTTTCGAGGTTCATGCCAGTATACTATGTTAAAAATTTCATCTTCTGCAAAGAGATATTGTAAGTTTCTAAATGAAGGTAAAAACTACCTGTGAATTGAAAATTAATGCACCAATCCAATATGCAGATGAATGTTATACAATAATCAGATTTTTATTCAGGTCATAAACATCCAATGTTATCTGACACTTTGCTCACTATTCAAGCTTTGATTTCTATGTTTAAACTGTTTTATGATAAACTCCACAGTTGTTGACTTTCAAAGAATTCAGTTTCAGTTTCAGTTTTATTTTTCATTTTCAATAAAACAGTGATTTTGACAAGAAATATGACATACAATTCAATATTCTATAATACAATACATTTTACATGGTTCGAAGTTCTAAAATAGAAAGCATACCCAATATTCAATATAATAGTTCTTTTTTATTGTTTAAGTTATACCTGTGGAAATGGAGGGATCCACTGAAAAGCAGAGCTTGTAGAATGTGGATCCCTCAAAGTAATGACAACATAATTTTTGTAACATGTAAATATATTGACCTGAACAAAAATATAAATATATGGATTACCAAAAAGGGGTAGAATAATATTACATTTATAAATCTGTATTGCTTGATTTCTTGTTGAAAATCAAAATTTGTGTAAAAGAAAACTGATAAGCTACATGTAACTCACTTTCCATGCCCATAAATGCCATCTATTAGGGGCTCACTAGGATCCTCCATCTCTTCCTGTATAATAGCTAGACCCTGCAATGTGATGTCACAAAGATAAACATTTAATAGAGAATACATAGCTTTGTTTTTCATAATGGGCAAACTAAAGGATTGTACTACACATGCTCCAATGACAATTTTACAATTGCAAATTTCAAACACTAGTCCACTTTCAACATCAACCTAGGTCCCAGCACTCCAACTAACCATTCTCTTAGCCAAAAACAACATGGTTATCAGATTTAACCCCATATTTTTATGAAATAAATCCCAGGGAAAATTTCATCAGATGACAATCAGCGTGTTTCCACAGAAAAAAAGTGGAACCCGGATTATCTTTTCCGGATCGAAATACCGTGTCGCGGCGACACGGTATTAAACCAATCTGTTTCCACAGAGCGCAGCATTCCGATTCGCCCCGATTTCGTGTTCCAAGTCAGGAAAATGCCGTGTCAATCGGAAGTCAAGATTCAACCTTTGACCTCGATCGTGGATTCATATCTACACAGGATTCCACGCTATTCTATTGCGACGTACATTTTTCATTGTTACGTACAGCACGTATATAAACATATTATTGTATACGCGTATTTCAGAGTATTTTTCAACCAATCACGCTGCAGTGGTGATTGGGGCTTCGCGCGCTCTGATGCTCCGCCAGACACGGTTTGTCGCTGTGTGTTTCCACAGAGATTTTTACAGGGAGTTCGTTGGGGTCGACACGTCAAGATCCACCTCCCAGAGGTGGATCTGATAATCCGCATCTCGGTCGACTCGACCCGACACGCCTGTGTTTCCACAGGAAAACTGACCCGGTATGACACGGTATGACACGGTATGACACGGAAAATACCGTGTCGATGTTTTCTGTGGAAACTAGCTGAATGAGTATTTAAGTATAAATTATGAGTATAAAGAATGAACAAGGCCCTCATCTGTGGCAATCCTTCTTCATGATTATTTCATGTTAGTATTACAATGTTTTACGTTGATGATGTATTAACTATATACTTTGTATAAATTGTCATGATTATGTTGTATTAGTTTGTAACTTTGGAAAGAGACCATGAAGAAAATAAAGAAAGAAATGAATCAATTATATAAAGTAATTATGTACAAATAGCAATATTACTTCTTATTGAAATAAAAGTGAGACTACAATTTTACATGAGAAATAGGGGGAAAAGGGAAAATGTGGTAAAATTAACATCTAATGGTTAAAACACAATATTTTTTGGATTTACCTTCATTACCATAGAAAAGTAATAACAAAACATAAATATGAATCTTACCCTGCCTATCAAGTAAAATTATTCCTAAACTCATAACAAAGAAAAAGAGGTAATGAAATGAATAAAATCTTGAATTCCCATGAACTAATGATACACTATTACATTTACATGCATACAAATAAAACAGACTTTGTGAGGAAGCGAATACCATCATGGAATAAAATGTATTCAAAAGCATAAATTCCACATCAAGAACAAGAATTGTCCTTGAAAATAGAAAATATGAATATCAACATTTAATGCCTTTTAAAATAACTTTTTACAAAGTATTTTCCAAGATGCTAACGGCTTTCCATAATTGTTAAGTCCAACTTTATAGAGACAAGTTCAACTTAGGATCTTTGTGAAATACCCCTAGTCCCACATGATCTCACCTTTGTTAGTAATACTGAGTATAGGAAGAGAAGGACTCCTCCATGACCAACAAACATGTGGTACGTCGTCATCAGAGCACCTCTGAGCTCATCCTCAGATTTATATGTTTGTATTCTGGCAAAGAAAATATGAATGTAATTAGTCAATGTGCTGGTATGTCAAATCACTCAAATGTATAACATGTATTTGTGTATTTAAAAAAAAATGAAAACTAGATGGATCTTCGACTACATGCAGTTGAAAATGATGCCTCCGCCATAGAGCGATTTTACAAACAAAAACAGAAGCAATTTTTAAAAATTCAAGTTTGATTGTAATCCATTAACAGGTTCTCAGAAAATCGTGATTGCAAGCTATTTTTCATATACATGTATTTGTGTTAAAAATTATTGTCAAGCAATCAACATGAATGCATAATAATGGACAAAAGGTGACATTTAATATCTCATAAACAAGCACTGCTACCTTGCATTGATACAAATTATACATATTGTCTGCTGGGAGGCAGAACGGTATGTATTCTTAACCAAAACTTTAAAAAAAAAAAAAAAATGGAATTTGAAAGAATGTTTGGTTGTCCCAAGGACTATCAAAATTCAATATGTATAAATTCCTTCCTATTGTGTACCAGATTCTACATCATACACTGCTGCAAATTTAAGAAAGAGAAACAAAATGTTCATGGTCTTCTATCTTTGAACAAAATTAAGTCTAAATCTGAATATGTAATTGCAGCAAATCAATTTAAAAAAAATTATATTTGAGTCGTAGTGGACTACATGATGTTTTTGTCATTTCACATTCCTGTACATGATTGTAAATAACCAGTTGGCTTTCATGTTTTCCTTGAGAACCCAATAATTTTTTTTTTAAGAAAAAAAGAAAGAAAAAAAATGAACTCTTTACCAAAGTACAATTATTACCACCCTACTGGCTCTTGGGACACAATAGCTTGATATCAAACCAACCTGAGATTTCTGTGGAAGGTAACGTGCGTGGGTTCCCCGTCTGATGACCCTGCTACATTCTCAATGGTCAGTTCCTGTTTGTCCTCTTGCAAGACCAGGAAATAGCTTCCACTGGACACTGAAGAGATGACGTCCTGCATGGCGCACAGGAGCAGGTGCTTGCGTTGGTCTCCTGAAATAATGGAAGTAATAAACAATAATGATGATGATGATGATAATAGTGATGACGTTAATACTATTCGAACAGTAAAAATTCCTGATCATCTCTTTTTAAAGCCTGTCTGTACTAGTTTGGCCCGGAGGATTAGACTACCCAGCAAGGTTAATGACAGGTGGCTATCTCATCAACTCGACTGTCAATTACCAGTAACATAAGATAAAGGGGATCGTGGGGGATGAACGGGCACTGCTTAGGCAGTGTTTTCTATATAGAGGGAGCAAGTAGTTACAAGTAGTACAGTGGGGCTTTAAGACAAATACATAGCTTCCAGTGAAATCTTAACAGACTATGTCCTGCATGGCACAGAGGAGCAGCTAGGTGCTTGCGTTGGTCCCCTGAAATACAGAATGATGATGAAAATGTTAATCTCTTTTTATCTTCTACCCCCTCTCCTCCCTGCAATTTTCAACATTTAATTCGGTGACAATAATATCAGAATGGGGAGGTGTGGGGCCATCAGTCTTTAAGGATGACATACGAATAGGCCATTTTAAGAAAACGTAATGTAAGCAAATTTAATGTACATGTACATGTACATGTATACGTCATTGTGAAGTGCCACTATATTTATAAATCATACCGTTAGTCTGTCTCCAGCTTTCTGTGCCCTCTTCACATTGGCTCTCTTGGCTGAAGAGAAGGTTCTTGACGAGGAATGCTTGAAGAGGAGCGATGATTGCGCAAGGACCTCCCTCATACTGGAGCAGCGCCATAGGTTCATCATCACTGAATACAAAGCCTACCATGGTAGGAAAAAACACAAGAGAACAAGAAATTATAACATTTTCTTTTACTTTCCCTTTATCTTCCTTTTTGACTGTTCATAGTACTCCCATTACCTTCCTTCTCCATACTGCATGGGCTCATCATCATCAAGAAAAAAACAGGGGGAGGTGGAGGATCAGGAAGAGAGTAATTTAGTTACTGGAAAGTCAATACTCAAAATGATTGTGAGACTTATTTAAAAAAAAAAAAAAAACACCAGTAATTTAAAAAGGGAAGTCCAACTTCATGATAGCAAATAACAACCAAACAAAACAAAAAATCATTAAAATTCATAAAAAATACCTCTTGTAGCTACAAAGATATTTTTCCTTTGGAATAACTGGCCTGGAGGCTGGAGCCTTCCACAAACAAATAACCTCGTCTTTGAATCGGTAAAGTTTGGTACCAAATAATACACCATATCTTGGCAACAAATGCCTTACTGTCAATTCTTTACACTCTTGAATAAAATCATTGATTTTCAACCTGTACCCATCACTACAGTAATGTAACTGACTCCATATATGTACCTTAATAACCCTATGTCTGTGATGAAATATAGCCTGAAGCAATGGCTTCCTTTGCAACTTAAGTACATGCATATGTTTTGAACAATTAGGGGCAAAGCTACTGCACATGTAGGGAAAGAGAATTATCAACATAATGAATTATATGTACATGTAGATGGATCTTTGACTGCGCGCCTCGGCCATATAGAGCATTTTACATACCAAAAACAGAAGCAATTTTTAGAATTCAAATTTGATTGTAATCCATGCATTAGCCATTAATAACAGGTTATCAAAAGCACTTTTTTTTCATATAGAATCTAGAGATCTAGACTAGACTCTAGATCTAGACTACATCTATGATCTATGACCCTTTGATCTTTAATTTAACCTCGTGACCCCAAAATCTAATCAGTTCATTGCATCGGCTCAATCTGCAAGATACAAACATGACCCAGGTTTGGCGGGAATCCATCAATAACGCGATCATCACAAGAATGGGACATACGGACAACCTGAACATTAATTTTAATGGCTAAGTTTTTGCCTCCCGCTAGGCGCTACTTTGTTGCAATTGTCATGATTGTGGAGGCATGAAAATTAATTCACCTTAAAGATGTTAAAAGCATGTTTCTATCAAGCAAATTAAGATCAATTTAAATTGAACTTTACAATTTAAAATCTAGATCTAGACAGTAGATGATAGTTAGGCCCGATTTAGAAACTTTAAAATGAAACGCGTATGAAAAATTCACAAATTATGTTTCATATTTGCTGATAATTTATCAATATTTTGTCAATTTTCCAATAATCATAACCAACAAATAGTACATTAAGGAATCAGGGTAAGCCTAGAATGTAAAAATTTTAACTAGAAAAATATCGAGCTTAGTCTTTGGCTTTTTTTAAAACCAATTCAAACTCAGAACTTAATCAAAAGGTCTTTAAAAAATCTTACCTTGCGACCATCGCAAGAAAACGTCTTCTTTCAATTCACTTCCCCATGTCATCGCCCGGACTTCGTCGACTGGATTAACGACAGATGAACTCCCTGGTTCTTCTTCATTCTGTTGGCTGGTCGAGGCCATCACAAATGTGTCAAAACTACTTTTAAAAAGCTGTCTTTACGAATTTATCCTAGTCAGCCTCCATTTTCGTGCGAGTGTATGTGTGGGACTACGCAAAATGGATATCCTAGAATTGTTTTGCGCGTTCACATTTGGAAAATTTGTAACGTTAGTGTTATCACTCCTTTCATTTTGTACACGATAAGGCGACCATTCTCTCTCATGGAGCGTAATGTAAACGCGCGTCCAAAAAAGCGTACGTTCTCATAAGTTGCCAACAGATGGCGCTCAACCACTTACCACTGCCTAGTCTTCGAGGTACGGATGGATGAATTTCAGAGGTGTAAGAAAAGATTAAGATTTGGCATGTTAAGAGGGAAGTCATGGGTCTTTATATAGTCTAGCTCCATTCAACTTTAGTACCCCTTGAAATTAAAGATCTACTCTCTGTATAACCTGTAGACAAAGTTGATATATGTGCTGAATCAACAGTTATATTAAAGTGAAGTAATAATTCTAAATTCCTCCCTCAATCCTGCTCTATTTTCCTTTTTCCTCTCTCTTCTTGTTTTTTGTTTTTTGTATTCCTATATTTTTTGTGTTTCATGCACCCCCTGCCCATGCCCTACGTAGAAATATGAAAGTGGAGAAGATCAATTATGGATTGAAAAAAGTGTCAGATGAATCATGATCTTTGACTTTTGCAATTTCTCATGTTTTCATGTTCTTCCCTTTCATATTAGAACCCTGCATTAAAATAGGTTCATTGTTTCCTGATTGTCTAATATTAAACACATTTTACCTCAGATAGAACAAAACATTTGAAAAATCAAGAGACAGCGAGGTAGAGATAGAGAGATAAAGAAGGGGGAGTGAAAATTAGTGCACCTGAGAGAGAGAGAGAGAGAGAGAGAGAGAGAGAGAGAGAGAGGGGAGAGAGAGAAGAAGAAGAAGGAGAGAGAGAGAGAGAGAGAGAGAGAGAGAAGGCCTAAAGTGAGAGCTTCAGCATGCTATTAGATGTCAGAAGGAAGACAGAGTGACAGGGGAGCAGAAAGATAGAGTGAGCGATAGATTTTCAGAGACTCATAGGCAGTAAGAGCAACAAAAATGGACAGTCCAGAAAGAGAAAGTGAGTGAGTTTTCACAGGGAAGAGTACATAGAGATGTAGTGGGTGTGTAGACATCTTTGTAGCAAACCCATAACAAAAGGAATTCTCTTTTTTAGGGTGCATTTTTTACCCAGCATTACCACGGTAAGCTATATACAAGAAAGAAAAACAACAGGCAACAATAACTTGTTATATATATTTTCATTATCAATTTAATACATAGATCTTTATGTTCTAGATCACAATTCAAAATGACAGAAACATAAAAGTTTTTATTTCAAGAGTGCTTCTTTGGTATGAAAGACAAGGTAAGATATTTTTTAAATTAAAAAATAAGTAACATTGCAAACATGAATCATATGACTTCTATCAGCCAACGGTGGAAAATGAGTGTACATTTTTAGGAAGGTGGAGCAATGACACGTTTTCCAAGATTATAAGCACAGAACTGTAATTTCTCTTAAATTTTGAATGAGGAAAAAACATTGAACGTCTGTTTTCAAGGTATCAGGGTAGCACCAATTTATCGATATGTCTTGGGGGGGGGGGGGGGTTCACAAAGACTAATATTGACTTTAAGTTGGACTTAACTTTGGCAGGCCCTTCATGCCACTGTTTGCTCTCACTGTTTACTGGCATTGGTCTCTCAAGGGATGTACAAATCATGGTCACAAATCTACAGAATTTATGTTTTTTGATAATTCATTATTGAAGGAAAAAATATTATCCAAAGATCTAAATGGTGAGAGCAAACAGTGGCATGAATGGCCTACCATATTTAAGTCAAACTTAAAGTCAATCTTAGTCTTTGTGAAACACTCCCCTGGTTGACTTATGTACAAAACTAATGATTTCAGGGGGTGGGTATAGTTATTCAAGATTGTCATAAATATCAACAACCCTTGTTGTTAATGTAATATCAGAGAGAAAAGTGCAAAATCATCCATAATATTGATCACACAATTCCTTTGCAACTTACTTTCTGATGATTAGACCAAGGTCTAAGAGTACAAGAGATTTTGACAAACAATCCATTAATATTACATATCAAAGTCTTCTTTTTGTATCTAGTGTATTGTATATTTCAACACACAAAAAATAATATCTGGATTATCTGCAAAGCACTTTATAGAGACAGTATTTTGTACCAAGTGCTACATGTATATAGATCCAGATTATTATCATTATTATCTTGCAATTTCGAATGATTGGGATTGGTTTTGTATCATAGACCACAAGAAGCTGAAGAATACTTTCCCCTCAAATTCATGCAATGTGACAAAACTGCCAATTACAGGAACACATGCAGGTATATTTATAATATATTGCTCAATGTTTCCGACTGCAACCAAGGTTTGGTAAGTCCTTTATTACATGCAATGATATCATCTTATAATACATACACCCTGTATTTGAAGAATAGGACTAAAGACAGACGATAATGGAACTTCAACTTTGTAGTATACCAATCAATTCTTTACTGATCTTAGAGACAATTGTAGATCTTTTACATACTAGGTAGGACTTGACACCAACAGGCGCCCGGGGACACATGGGCACCCACAATTGGCTGAAACAGAGACCACAATGTTATGGATTTAATTATTACTTTACATATTATTTTCAGTAACTGGCCTTGAACACAAGGCAATAAATAAATATCGGACAGCACTTAATATTTGCATAGTTTGCACCATGGGATAACCCCCTCATTTGATTGTAGAGGGTCCATTACAAGTAGTCCAAATCAGAGTGTTCAGTCAAGAGAAACGTTCAACTTTCTTGCAGACATCTTGACCTGTACGAAGAAGGAAAAATAGAAACCAAAATGATAAAGCCTTAATAATAGAGTCAAATTTTACTAGATGTACAGAGTATTTCACAATTATTACTGCTGTTATACAGTACATTGTATCAGCTAATATTCAAAGTAATTTATAAATGTAGGGTGCATATTTGGGATATCCTATCTGGCACTGGAGAAGGGATATGCCATTAGACGTCTGCCGATAGCCAAAACGTGTGAACACATCCCATACCACTATGGTGCTTAGACTTGAGACTTGTTTACACATATGCCATGGTAAACTGTGGCAATTTCTTTATTAAAGCACACTTCAGCATACTAAACTTCACATTTTTGTATTTTATATTACACAGTTAAGCAAGTACAGAGACCTACCCTCTCACGATTCCTTTGCTTGTCCCTCAGCAGGGTGCGGACCATCGCAAGCTGGTCAAGCTCCTCCCTCTTCCTGTCCTCTGCATCCTCCACCTGTCTCTTGTATTCCTGCCGATGACCTTCAAGGCCAGCTAATCTTTTCTCCAGACCTTTTATTTCATCCCTCAGATGCTGCTGTTTCTGTGATATGTTGCCCATTTGTTGCTGCAAAGTAGAAAAATAATATCACACATAATTTAGATGAAAACTAAATGGATCTAGATTATGCAGTCGAAAAATGATGCCTCCGCCATAGAGCAATTTTATAAACCAAAACAGAAGCAATTTTAAAATTTAAGTTTGATTGTAATCCATTAACAGGTTCTTAGAATATTATGATTACAAGCTATTTTTCATATACATGTATGACCCTTTGAACTTTGACCTCATGACCCTGAACGGACGGATGGACAACCCCAAAACATAATGTCTCTGGCTACTTTGTAGCGGAGGCATAAAAAGAAGTGTTCTTTCAATAATAAAGATCCAAGTGGCTTTGCAAGGATGGCAAGTACCTGGAGATCTTCATTCTGAATTTATGGTATTGAATATGAAATTAAACAATAGCTAACATTGTGTTTGAAGAAAAAAAAACTTCGAATTATATGTTATCTTTATGTATTTAAAAAAAAAGTATTCCAATTCTGTGAACATCCCTACATATTTTATGTACAAATATTCATGCTACTATACTCTCAGTTTAGCTTATATTTACATTTGCTAAAGCAAAATCATAGCTTATAATATCTTATTCAAATGTCTTTTAAATTACTTAATTCCATGAAGAAGAAAAAAAATGCAAGCTTCTACAAATTGTCTCGATTTCATAATAAGAAACAGAAGATATTTTGTTAACTAATTTTTGTTGAGGAGTTAACTATTACACTATATTTTACCATACTCTCTTTGTCTATACGAACATCTTATTATTATGTATGAGAGTTGTTTCAATAAATAATTTTAAAACAAATATTTTCAAAACAAAGCTTCTACAAATTGTGAGGACACAAACCTTGTGTTTGGCAATTTCTTGGTTTTGTTTCTCCACCCTCTCCACTACATCTGCTTCTTCACTCTCCAAAGCTTCGCATCGGATACCAAGTGATTGGTATTCATCCTCCAGCTTCCTCGCTTCTTCTTCCGGGCTCATCTTCCTCCTGCTACGCGCAACATCGACCTTCTCACTTCCTGCATCCTTACTTTCTCTCGTCCTTGCATTATTATCATTATTATTGAACCCTCTAGTAAGATGCTCGGTTCCCCCCTCTGGTCTTGAATGGACTTGTCCCTCATCTGCATATTGAGAAGGCGTGTATTGTTGAGTTCTGTGGCTGTCTGGGTAGTGATTGGTCGAATGAGTTGAGACGTGATTTTGATTGACATCCGAGGGAGTTCTGTGATTGGTCAGTGGTTGAGAGTGGGAGGCAAGAGGGCAAGCTCCAGAGTTGGGTCTCGAGGAGGAGATGATTTCTTGGAGAGTTGAATTCAGTGACGTTGAGGTGACTGTAAATAGTAGAGAAAAGAGCACATTGATTTGATGGTTATTTCACCTGACTGCTAAGAAAGCATAAATGCTTGCAAGTAAGCAACCGGACGGCCAATGGCTTTAGGTCTCTCCGAGGTACCTGGTACCTGATGCCTTACCAAAGGGCACTAGCACATCGTCTTGGTTTCGAACCCGGGTCACCAGATTACTAGACCAGAGCTCTACTGACTGAGCTATCGCGCCTCCTACAACCATTACATGTATGTTTAGTTGTGAAGCATATACTAGGTTTATACAGTCAGTGAAAATGAGAGCCACATCCATAAATCAATATTAATATTATGCTTTAGTATTAAAAAAAAGAGATTAAATCATCTGCAATATAAAATCTAAGTGAGGGGGTTCTTTGATCTTACCTCTCGTTCTGCAAGTTGGGCATTTGATTCTATCTTCTGCACATGCTTCGCAGAGGGTGTGTCCACACGGAACCAGGAGAGTTGCAGAATGATCAGGTGGTATCTAGGTGGGAAATAGACAGACGGCCAAACAAATGTAAAAAAGGGTTTAGAAATTCTTGTGTACATTGCCTCACTATCAACTAATTGTTTTCTTTATAATGATAATGTAAATTTCCAATTTTCCCTCTAAAAATCTCATCTCCTCACACCAGCTTCCAAGTTATATTGATGGTAACATGTTTTTGTGTAGATGCATTAATATAAAGTTTTTTTTCTTCAGTTAAATCATTAGAAAATGTGAATTTCAATAAACTATTTATATAAAATCAAGAATATGAAAAATACAATATTCAGAAAATAGTATCAAATCTTCAAAGTTCATACAAGATTTTGTGAAATGTCATGCATGCAATATGATACAAATCATATAACCTGGGCAAAGGCACGGGGAAATCAAGTTTTGGGGATAAAATTAAAAAGGGAATTAATGGGATAAAGATATATAAAGCAATTGATAAATAGTGAGGCAATGACATCACAAATTGAGAACTGAATCGGCAATGTGTATAGTGATTTTCTATGTTCCATAGTTTTTCATACTGTAAACAAAAATCATAACTTCCTCATTGGGCTCTGTTTCTCTTGTTTTTTGCATCTATTTGAAGCAAATTATTTTTGGAGTGGACTTGGCCTTTAAGAATGGCAATTTGAATATGAAATGAAGCTCTTGTGCTCACAGACCCTACCATTAACTGCTTGCATTTACAGCAGTGATGTCCTTCAATGTATCCTTCTGGCTGATCATTGGGTTCATCCAGGACGTTCTGAGGATATCCTGATTGGCGAATCAACTCCTGTCTCTCATCCTTCATCTCTGCCTTCACCCTGGTAGCAATCTGGTCAGCTAGCCTGTCAAAGGCATCTGGATCCAAAGAAGGTTTTGGCCGTGGTCTTCTCTCCAACGCGCTGCCGTCAACCTGACTGGACGTCTGGCTATCTCTCACCATGCGTTGGTCATCGACTGTTTGTTTACTATGGCCTAGGGAATGTGTTGACTGTACCCCTCTCGTACTATCATAGTCCCCCATATCCCCCTGTAGTCTCCTGGAACTTGTCTCACCACCCCTATCAGAACCTTCAAAGTTATTCAAGTTTGGCTCCGAATGGAACCTATCCCCTAAATCTCCTCGGGTAGACCGAACATCAGTCCTCTCCCTTGTACCTAAAGAAATGCTGTCATTATCACCCACCCTTCTCTTGTGATCTGTCCTGGCTGATTTATCTGGTTGTGATGATGATGGGTAGTTCCTACCAGAAGGAGGACGTGACCCTTCGCTAGCAGTACTCCTTGCACTTGAAGGCCTGGATGAGGAGCCATTCCTCTTACTAGCAGCTGATGATGATGACGCAGATGGACTCTTCTTTGCGGAATTTGTCGCACTCCGAGCCGGGGAAGCCGATCGTGTTCTTAGTGTCTGCTGCTTGGTGGATGGTTTTGTTGAATTTTGAGTTGATGGGGGTTTCTTTTTAGAATTGCCCATACTCCAGGACATCGTTTCCGACCCTGAAAATTAATTAACATTAATTAACACATTAGATTCTCCCCATTTTTTCTTCTTCACACTGCTTGCATTCTTTAGATCATCTTTGTGATAGGCTGCATAGCCTTTTGAAGATTATCTTTGGTACACATGTTGGAGAAGTAGAAGAAGGATATAACACAAGTTTAGTGCCTCATAGCAGACAAGGTTCTCACCAGTACATAATAACAATAATACATCGCATTTATAATGCGCCTAATACCTGTTTCTAGGTGCAGTATATATTATTACCCCGGTCATCCGATTCAGGCTTACCCCCACACAATGTATGCACATTCTCCACTCCCTGGGGAGCATAAACTCAGTTTTATGGCAGGACCAAGGATTGGGGACTTCACACGAGAATTACCAAGATGTAATTCTCCCTAAAGATATCAGGAATAATAGTAAAACTTTAAATGTATTCTTGTGACATGGGCATAAACTCCTTGATTCTCCCAAAACCCTTCCCCCCCCCCCCCAACCTCCTCACGAGATGATGAATGTGGAGTTCACTTAGCACTCAATTTAAACTAAGCATAAAAAAAGTCATGCTGACCTCTCAGATATAAAGAGTGTGTCTAGAAGTAGATGCAAAGAAACAAGTTTGATAACCAGAAGATTGTAAATTGCAACATATACATTGAAATATTTTTCTTTCCATGGTTTATAGTAGTTCTTACACAAGGAGATGAAATAAAGCATACGTACTGTAGCTCTGGGAAAGTGCAATACTCACCTGATTTATCATTTGTCTGAGCAGATTTTCTGGCACTCTTGTCTCGGCCCTTCCTTTCTCCACCTCCTTCAAGTGCTTCACCCATGCTCTCTCGACCATCAATGTTTTGAGATCGTTCTCTCATCCAATTGCTCTGCATTCTCTTGATCTCACCAACCTGTAAGAGTTACAAATGATTTGAAGAAATAATATAATTCAATTTGGTATGCAGTTGTTTGGAAGATGTTCTACACATTTAGCAGTTCAATGCACTGGCAATTGTTGTAAGGTGAAGTGCGCAAATCATGTCTTCTGCTCTGTACCTGTATCCTGTGGACATCGTACATTTGAAAGGTTGAGCAGGATAACCTGAAGTCTATAACCTTGTATATCATGGAGTGAAGCAAGTGGAATGTTAGGGATTGATAAAATGCAGTGGCTATAGACTTTACCAAACATGATAGACCTATGACACATTTCATTTGCATGCAAGGAGCAGCAGGAGGAAAAGGAGACCTAGAAAGAGGAAAAGAAGAAGAGGAGAAGGAGGAGAAGAAGGAGGATAAGAAGAGGAGTAGCTAAAGAGGAGGCCATGCATAAACTGTCAACAGGAATTGTGGTAGCACAAATGATCCAAACATTCAATTTGCATGAAGAAGAGGAGGAAGAAGAGGAGGAGGAGGAGGAGGAGGAGGAGGAGGAGGAGGAGGAGGAGGAGGAGGAGGAGGAGGAGGAGGAGGAGGAGGAGAAGAATTGAGAAGAAGAAGAAGAATTAAGAAGAAGAAGAAGAAAAAAAGAAGAGGAGGAAGAAAAAGAAGAAGGAGGAGGAGAAGAAGAAGGATTATAAGAAAAAGAAGGAGAAGCAGAAGCAGAAGCAGAAAAAGAAAAGAAAAAGAAGAAAGAAAGAAATCATTTTCGGCATCAGCCACACACACATTTTTCAGTAAGTGGGACCGTAGTTAATTCATTGCGAAATGAAATAAGCGAGTGATGATAGTCTAGTTATTTAATTAAAGTTTAAAACTCAACACACTGAATCGAAATATGTTACCTTTTCCGTTAAACTTCCTTTTAATCTTCCAGCCATCTTCTTCGTGTTTCTAGACAAAAGGTGATTCCAAAGATAACTGATCAAATTTCCAGCAGTTTCTCGTTCTCGTGAGCATACAATGCAATAACACAAACAGAATAATATACAGCGCGCGCGGCGCGCGTCGTAAGTAAATCGGCGTCGTGCGCCCATGGCAACTTTGCATGCCCCTCCCACCAAATTCAAGTGCAAATATATTTATAGAATATAGTCTAGTCATATAGAAATTACAACCTATACTCAAATGTCTCAAACTGGATAGATATTGATTCCAATCATTACATCAAATTATTTACCACATGTACACTTGAATTGCAAAACTGATAGGTTTATTGTGGACATGCGTCCTCTTGCCTATAGAAAAAAAAACCTATATGAAACCATCATTGTATAATTAGTATTGCATTGTATTTATTTAACTTCATTGATGTACATCAATATTGACATATAAATCAATTTACAATGCAATGTAACAAATCAATATTCTGTGTAAACATTTATATCATATAATTCAATTTACAATACAGTGTATATAGGAAAAAAGAAGGGAAATTATATATATACAACAGAAACACTCTGTATATACTTTCTCCTAAGCCATTTTCATCCCGCGGTTTTCATCAACGCGAACATATAAGTTGTCTAGGTTTTTCTTGCTCGAATAACACGAATGGACATGTATTAGTTACGAGAAACTGCTTTCAATACTCGCGATTTGTGATTACAGGCCAATAATATAATACAAAATTGACATGATTTTATGATTACATGATTATAATACAAGAAATAGCCGATTCAACTTTAACTTACCAGAAAGAGTAGTATTGGAAATTCGTTTTATTACAATGCCATAAAACATTGGAATTCCCTTCCCAGTGGTGTAAAAGAAATAGGAAACTATGATCATTTTAAGAGGAAATTAAAGGAATACCTAATACTTGACAGTCAGAGAAGAGAAGTGAATGACATGTTATATGATTGAAATTTTATTCTTCTGTCGGTTCATACTTTTTCATGTTGTATATACTTATGTTTTCGTACGTTATAGAAATTCTACAAATTCATCATTATTTTCCTCTTCTTCCTTCTCCTCTTTTTCTTCTTCTTCTTCTTCTTTTTCTTCTTGTACTTAATATCATTTCTATCATCAGTTTAATGTTGTTATTATTATTATTATCTTTAATAAGTAGTTCTTTTAATTTTCTTATCTGTCTGTAAATATTACTATTTTAACTTATTAATTGTATACATAATTCTGTAAGGGACCCCACTGGAAATAAGCTCTCGAGCTTTCGTGGGTTATCCTGTTAAAGCTGACTTATTTTTTATCTGTTATTATTGTATATTGTTGTATGTTGGAAGCTTGTCGAATAAAAATCAATCAATCAATCAATCAATCGACATACATTTTCAAAATGAAATATCAAAAGTGATTCACGCATCACTATGTAATTCCATTACTCAACCTTATCACTTCGGTTAATAGCCGTTACATGCACGCATACATCCAGTTCGTCTACTATACCCAATTGGTCTATTCCCATATGGTCTACACCCAGCCAGTCTCCACATGGTCTAATACTCATTTTATCTACCTGTCTAATGACCATTTAGGCTAATATAGTCATTCGGTCTATAACCTCCAATAAGTCTACTACCTACTTGGTCCATTTGTCACCCACACACGCGCGCTAACGTCTACAAAGATATGCGAAAGAATGGAGAAGAGGACCGAGAGGGAGAGAGAGAGAGAGAGAGAGAGAGAGAGAGAGAGGGGGCAGAGAGAGAGAGAGAGAGAGAGATAGGGGGGGGGAGACCCGTAACTAAAGGGGGGTGTGGGTGCGTATGAACCGCCGTTCCTTTTTTTTATTTTTTTTTATCCCATGTGAAATTTTTTATTAATAGCAAGTACGTTTTTTTGCAGAAGTCTGATATTATTATTCATATTCATTATCATTGTTATACAAATTAGGTTACAATCACAATACAATTATGTCTGCATCGATATATAATTCTTAGTCGTGAAAATGAAAAAGAAAAAACGGTTACATGTACGTGCGCAGTATTGATTTAAAGGTGTCAAAATAATTTCCAGCTGTACACCAACTCACAATAATATCAGGGCATATAAATTCATTGTTCAAATACGCAGTCTATTACTTCTCATTCCTGTTATAACAAGGAGATTTCCCATTGCTATGGATGAACGTTAATCACACAAATAATTTCTACTTTTGTAATCGCTTTATGATATCAGGGAGTACGTGATAGACAAAGTCGACTGTTTCAAGGAAGTTTGAATTTAGTGATCAAGTGGTGGCTGTCTGGTCGGACGAGATTGAATAGTATTCTACATCGAGATTGACGAATATCCTTGGATTTTATGATTTTGATATAAGCAATGAGGTTTAATCCGTGATTTGAGGAGTAATGTCTTAATGAAGGGCACTAATAAATCGAGTCGGTTTTGTCCCGAGACCTCGCATTTGCCGTATACGAGACCACACAATTTTGAGAGACACGCTTTTGTATTATTTGAGCCATCATGGATTTGACACACCACTGTGACTGAATAACACCTGCGTTACACCAGTCCTATATCTCTGTTGAGCAAAAGTTTTATGTTGTACTTTGTAACGTCGCGACGTGTTGACTCGCGTTAACACTGGAGTGTTAATTTAGATCGAATCGCACGATACACCATGCACCAATAATTACCAAACACCGGCATTGCACCAACAATCTCTGAAGCAAGTGTTTCACGATATTGAAGTAGCCTTTGGTGCATAACGCAGTCTTATTTTAACACTAACTGTCTTGACACCATTAACATTTTCCTACTTGGTTGGAATCGCCTGCTTCATCATGAATATTATGATGAATAACGCAGTCTCTGATGACCGAGGATCCGGTCATCATGATCAGCTTCAGTCTTCGGAACTTACCTCTAATCATAAAGTAAAGGTATGTTCGATATTATAGCGCCGATGTTGCAGGGCCCAGCATTTTGAACAAGACTTGTGATCATGCATGGGTGAAAATTGGTCTTAAAACTAAAAGAGGAGTCACATTATTTTGTCATCACATTTCACGGGTGCCTTTAATTTCAAATAATGGGGAGACGCCCACCCCCTCCCTACCATGGAATACAGGCGCGTACACAGGGGGGGGGGGGGGGGGTTTGGGGGGTTAAACCCCCCCCTTTGGTAATTTTTTGTGTGTAAAAAATTATTTAAAAAAAAAAATCCCATGGTTGACCTATAAAAGCTGACCTTACCCCCCCCCCCCAACGGAGCAAAATGTCAAATTTTCAAATTTCGAGACCCCCCCCCAAAAAAAAAGTGTCCTCTTACCCCCCCCCCCCCCCGCTTATTCAGCGGCTGGCTGAGTCGTTGTGAAATTTTCGGCCCGATTTATAAATGTTAAACCCCCCCCCCCCCCCTTGAAAAAATCCTGCGTACGCGCCTGATGGAATATCTGCGCATGGTTATATAGGTTAGGCTTAAGAACTGCCCCTCTTTTCCCATAAATTAGGGACATTGTTAATTTGACGGGGAAACCCGATTATAAAGCTAAAGCTTGTATACCTTACAAAATAAAACTGCAAGTAAAAGTATTTCTTTAATTAAAAGTTTATTGCTTCATTTTTCGATCTAAACAAATTTTAAGGCCTAGCTCCTTCGTCACTATATTATGAGCATTTCATTAACGGGGTTGAGAAACACAGTTATAACTTTGAAAGCCTATAAACTATCATTGTATAAGCAATGTTAAAGTATTTCTTAGTTGCTGGTTATTTAATATTTTCAGTTGAAAGGCAAATGTGAGGCCTTCTTTTATGAAAATCAAAATGAAAATATATAGAGCAAATCTGGTGCATTATTTATCGCAACAAAAGGATATTAATCACCATTATGCGTACAGTTTTTGCCCCTTCCAATAAAAATATTCCTACATAGATTTGCATTTCCTTTAAAAGGAAAGATGACAAATAATATTCGACGATGAATAATATATTTACCTGTTATTTTCTTCCACCCATATCACCATTTTCAACCAGCCAGTCGAATGCAAATTTTACCCATTCTATATGGTCCATCCCATTTCAAAATACGTGGATGGAAGGGGCCAGTAGCTGGAGACTAACAATAAGGGCCTCGTATTCTAATCAATAGCTTTATAGAAATGAAACTTGTTATCTGTTAAATATTCAATGTAGGGTTAAATTTAACAAAGTATATTCGCCCCTCCCACTCCTGTATCTCCCGCCCGTGTGAAAGATTCATTCAATATTCGAAATATGAATATCGGAGTAAATTCAAAATGCCAGTGTCATCACCTTTTAACAAATCGGATGCTATCACTACACTATATCCAGAAAGATATTTATGGTCCATCCCTTTTGAAAGATACGGATATATGGGGGGGGGGGGGGGGTCAAGAGAAGGAAGAACAGACTCGAAAGATTATGGGGCCTATCCAGGACTACATTGGAAGAAGAAAAATTAAGCTACATTATCATGTTTCATGGTTTATCTTGTCGAGGAACATAATATAAAAATAATGTATTCCATGTGATAAAGTGTATTTGTACGAGACGAATCAAATAAAAATAAACCAAAGTTTATTGGAAGTGTAGTGATGTAGTGGTTCATTCACTTTAGTTTCGATCAAAAGGTTGAGGGTTCGAACCCGAGCCTGCAATGAATTTGGCAAGCCATTCAGATTCTACTCTACCCAGGTTTCATGTGAACCCGATATTCTAGAGTGTTACATAATCGCTCGGCTATATGACCGTGGTAAACTGCTGGAGCTCTCATACATAATAGCACACCATCATTGTTATCATCATTATTATAATTTTTTATCTTCAACAGCGAATTGAACATGAGACGTCGCCGCCCAGCTTGATAGCGATGTCGATAGGATGTGTGGTAATCCTCCTCGCCACCGTGATCAGCTGTGCTCACATGTGTTCACACTGTGAGCCGTGTTTCACCTGTTCCAATGGGAATGAACCTTACCTCTCCAATCAACAGATGACGTCACTTAAGCAACATGAGGCTCGTATAAGAAGGTGCAAAGACACTATATGTGCTTTGGTGTCATAAAACTGAATTCAATGGAAGAAATATTTTTAAAGAAGTTTTTGTGGACAAAATAGTGTACAAGAATTATAACGGTTCAAACAAAACGAATGTCTGGTTGGATGGATGGACTGGCCGCTGATTCACTTGCTCTGAATAGCCAATAGCAACAAGTGCATCATGGAAAAAAGCGAGTTTTTTCTTTCTACCATAAAACTTCTAAAAGTTCGATCTTCTTTCTATCGAATCTTTTATCTTCATGACCCCACAACGCATATCATACGAAGAAGGCACAGAGAGGAATAGATCAATGGTGATTGGACATGGGGAGGGGTGGGGTGGTGGTGGTGGTAGAGTTCTTTGTTCAAATTGTTAAGGCGTGGACGTCCGATTATTGTTTTTGTTTATTTTATTCAAATATAATGGCGCTTATTAAAGTTCTTTTTGTTTTTATAATATGCAGGTGCTCTTCAAACTTTCATAGAATTATGTTTACTACTATTTCTGGAAACAAATAATGGGGAGCAAATCATTGGTTCTCGCAACTCTACTGTAAAGGGCGTGGCTATAAGTTGCACGCGCTCCGTCTTATGTTTACCCGTTCATGTATAAAGCATGCATTTTTTTAGGGGGCGTTACATACCTTTCCCCTCTATTGAAAATATGATAAGTGTTGGATACGTTTCATGAGATACAAAAAAGAAGGGTGAACTTTAACCATAAATTCCCTTTCTGTGTTTTCTTTTCAAAGGCTGACGGAACATCCAGAGCTTCTACATCGTGAAGAAAATCAGCAATATATCATACAACTCACTGAAAAGCAGCTGCAGTCGATATACAAGACATTCTGCTTTTATTTTGTGGATACTCCACTGCACCTGAGGGAAAAAATAGGAGCATTCGAGATCGAAGATGGTAATTATCAGGTTGACACAAAATTTACTTATAGAAATGTGAAGAAGTGAGCGATACAGGGTTAAATATAGAGAAAGAAAGACGTAGAAAGAGAGAGTCAGAGAGAAGGAGAAAGAAAGAAGAGAGAAAGGAGAAAAGAGAGAGAGAGAAAGAGAGAGAGAGAGAGAGAGGGGAGAGAGATAGGGAGAGGGTTAGGGTAAGAGATATAGGGTTAGGAATAAAGGAGAAGCAAAGAAGCAAAGGAGAGGAGAGGCAGCCAAAATATGATACAAAAAGATGAAAAAGAAAAGTATATAGGGAATAAGAAAAATGGTGAGATTGAGAGAGAGACGCGGTATGTGAGAAAGTTTACCACGAGAATTTTGAGTAGAGGGAGAGAGAGGCAGAGAGCGAGAGCAAAACATATACTAAGAGAGAGAGGGAGAGAGAGGGGGAGGGAAGGGGGAGGGAGATAGAGCGAGAGGGGTGGAGAGAGAGAGAGAGAGAGAGAGAGAGAGAGAGAGGGGGGGAGACATTGGGAGGAAAGTGGATGGGGGCAGCGGAAGGGTGTTGTAAAGGAATGCCTAGGTAAAAAAATTAAAATTCTTTTTCAAAGGGTACCCTTAATATATATTTTTTCTGAACCGGCCCCGGTCATTACATTTTTAGAGTATTTCTTTCAAATATAGATCAACTTCTTGAAGGAAATACAGAAGCTCTACAAGGGAGATCTCTTCCCGATGGCGGCAGCATCAGTCATACTGCAGGGGCTCAATCCACATTCCAGGTATATATGAAACTTTATATTATACCTGAAAGTCATTTATAACTTTTTTCTTCTTTGAAGACGTAATGAAACTAGGCCTATCTTGTATAGAGCGAAGCACCCGACACTCCCTCCACCACATTTCCAATGAAATAGGATAATCGAGTATTGTCAAAAAGGTCTATTTGCTGTTTCTATACAATTTTGTAGTAAAATAGTAAAAATAGACTGCGATTTAAAAAAACATTGTGTGCAGATTTTTTCTAACCCATTTTAAGCCCTTTAAAAAAAAACATTTTACTAAGAGTTATAAAAACCCGACAGAAATGTTTTCATCTTTCATTTTATTAAATAGGATTTGCAAGAAGATCGTTTTAGAAGGTTGAAGGCAATTTTAATGGATCGGGCTAATTTTACAGCGCAGCTATCCACGCAATCTAACTCTAAGCAGCATGCAGATTCACTTTCGGTGGAACGTTCATCAAGCAAGCCATTGGAGGAGACTGTGACTCGTTCAAAAGATATCTTGCCTGGAAGATTAGGACTAAATAGTGGCAAACAACCTTTAGAAGATAACACAACAGATGAAATAGGAAAGCGAGCTTCAGACCAGGAATTTAAGCAGAGGAAACGTAGACATGAGAATGATGAGGAAGCTGATGATCCTGAAACCGAAGATGGCGAGGGAACCTATGATGACGACGAGAGAAGCGATACTGAAGCTTTTAGTGAAGAAGCAGAAACAATGTGCTCCGCAAAAGAAGTTGAATACCCGGTCGTTCTCTACATCAATGCTGCTGGAAGTTTGGTCCAACTTATTCTGGTAACACGATACAAACCTCCTAGACCATACCATACCTCAACATTAACACACACAAGCCACGCACCCACCCACACACACTCCCACACGCACGCATGCCACACCCGGTACCCCACGAGCCCATCAATAACCCAATACGCATTCATACGCACCAACACAATTAAACCCACACATTCCAACGAACACACCCACCAACGCACACGGACAAACACCGCCTACTCACACGCATTAGGCCTACATGAAAAGTAGTAAAAAAAATAAAAAAAACTTTAAAACTTTCATAGATTTTAAAATTTAAAGTTAAATACATCAAGTGAAATCTGATAATATACAATAAAAAAAAAATTATAGTAGGCAAATCTGAAAGAATGGATATCACTGATATCACGTATAAAGAAAATTATATCAAAGTATGATACAAGAACAAATACAAAATTTGAAAAAATGAGACGTGAAAGTGAATGAAATAAATCTAAAATGTTGACCCATATGTTGAGATACTTGTTAAATGTAAAGAATCAGATAAAATAATTGTCAAATGGACTTAAAACGAATGAATGGAAGCTATATGAATGAAACATGTAGAACAAAAAACTGATGGATGAAAAAACAATAATATGCAAAATAATAGTACGTGGATGATTTCAATTTTACTAGTTAAAATCTAGTATATTTTTGATTTCTTCTTCTACAGAGCGAGTCTTATTACCAGCCTCTCGTTAATGAGCGATGTTCACGTGAGTTCCATACCGTAAAACGGGATGACATGACAGCGACGTGTCTCACTACCTATCGCCTGGCGCAAGTCTACGCTCTGAATCTAGCAACTCTCCAGTTTGGGCGGGAAATTATAAGAATAACGCAGTGTACACCAGTCATCATAGCAACATCATAAAAGGAGACATTCATTAATTAATTTGGTATTTGTGTACAGCTTAATTTAAACTAAGCTTCACACAAACAGAAGAGAGAGAGAGAACAGCCGTGTTCAAAACATTTAAATTTTTACTTCGATAGATTTTTATAAAGTTTGATACAAAAAATAGCTGATAAAATCCGTCACATTTACATATACAGTCAAGTATTGTTTCATGATAGCGGCTTACAATCATTCTGATTTTTTTTCCGTAGAATGAAAAAATTAAATGTACCAGCGACTCTAAAAATAGTGAACAGAACTTGCTAAAAAATTCAAACAGCTGATAATTACTTACTGTATGAATAGCACGCCACTCATTAATTTTGAACATAACATCGAATCATTATTCTCTAGGTGATGAAGTTAATGCAATTGAGATCAGAATATACTTTTTTTGGTGGACAGTACTGTTGCTAAAATCGATTGTGATTTATCATTATTGATTTACCAATAGAAGCCTTTGGATTAATGAAGCGACTATCATAACAACGTTCACACATCTATTTTACCGTCCAATTACCATCTTAAAATCTGGAATTGTTCCATTGTTAGAAAAATAGTTTAAAAAGGTGTACATTATAATGCCTTAAAGCTTATCTGTACTAGTTTATAGGAGGGATTAGACCACACTGCAAGGTCACTGGACAGGTTGTTATCTCATCAACTCAGCTCTTAATTAACATAAGAAAAAGAGGCACGGGGGACCAATGGTCACCGATTAGGCATTGTTTTCTTTGAGAGGGAGCAAGTAGCTACTAGTAGGACAGTGTGGCTTTAAATCAAAATGGTTTCCTCAAAATCAACTTTTATTCAAGTTTCCATTTTCGACCAATTAAGACATGTATTTGTTTGGCATGTACATTGTGTAATGTGTTTGTCAATTATGATCAGTGTAACTTTTTAATTATTTTGAATGTTTGATCTCTATAACGCAGACTACAATAATTACCATCAAAATGTAAAATATTGCGTCAATGCATGGTTATTCATGCGTAGTCCAATCAACTTTATGGGGGTTCTGCATGATCTAAGACGGCGATTTGCTCGGTAGCACACAATACTACTACACGATCATCATTATGATCTGATCATGAAAGGGTTTTAATAATTCTTTTGTTTTCTTAAATAAGTCCTGCTGAAGGTTTGGGGAGGCGCAATGGCTCAGTATAGAGCAATGAACTAACCATGCAGAATATATTCCTGTTTTCTCAGTCTTGTGGATCGATTTCGGGATGGTCTATAGTGAAGGTGCATAATTCTGAATGTTCGCAATTCCGAAACACAAATTTCTCATAGAGGCTGCAGGGAATACATAATTACTGAAGTAGGGTTCATAATTCCGAACATTATTTTTTTGTTGTTGCGTTATTCCAATTATTAGGGTCGTTTATCCGAAGGATCATAATTCCGTAACTGAAATTGGGTCCATTTTTCGGAAGGTTCGTATTTGCGGAAAACGATTATAGGGTTCCGTATGCCGTTTTCGTAATCATGAATCCTTGGAATAATGAACCCTATTTCACTTTTGTGAACACGAACATCCAGAGTAACGAACCTTCAGAGTAACGAAACTTCGGAAGTATAATGACGAACCTCAGCAAAATTGTTACTTGGGTTTCTTGGACTATCGGTAAAGTAGGATGACCCATAGTTTTCAAACTGTTATCATGCATTATTACTCAAACGTATAATAATTTATTATTTATTTATTCTTTCATTTATTGTGAATGTGAGTTGGACTATATAGCGTATGTTCACTTGGTCAGCTATTTGTCTTCGCCTATAGAACTGGCGGACCCCGCGTATCAGATGGTGACGTTAAAGGTCGGTCCCCAGACTTTAATAATCGTAACTGACTGATCAAATGCGTCTGTAAGAAATGTGTGTTTAAATATGTCAATTCCTCTATTCATTCAATCATTCATTATTTTAATGTAATAAAGAAGATAAAACAATAAGCTCAAGATTGCCTCTCATTGGTCCTGTAATATATATTTATAAAAAGAGTAAACATTATTATGGTGAAGAATATACAAAATAATGTATGCATACTGCAGAAATAAAATAAAAAATACTATACAATAATCGATAATAGAAGAATGTAGGTCTACTTACTTAAGTTAGATACAAAATATGAAAATTAAAGTGGGAAGAAATAGCATGGGAATATACTTTGAATTTTCTGACGATTTGGTTTTAAATAATGTATTTATGATAGGATTGATGTCTTAATAATGGCTAATGTTTTAGTATCATTAATTTCATTACAATGTATTTATAAGACAGGTTGTATATTTCTATGAACTAAGATCAGTTAAGGTTCTTTCAAGTATGATTATATTCGTGAAATATTTAGTTTGTGATTATATTACGTTCTCTTTTTGTATTTATATGCTCACAGTTTAGACTACTTAATTTGTTTTTGAACAAATTAAATTCGTGCAAATTTAACTGGTGTAATGATTAAAAACAAATACATGGTAGAAGATGAAGAATGGAAAACCAGGGAGGTGAGACTTTATTCAGTCAGATAGAAAAAGAAAAGCATTTTTTAGGATAGCCTATATCAGAAATGGAAATGTTAGCAAAGATTGGAAAGAAGAATTTCTGATTTGACCTGAATTGATATGTTAACTTAAAATAAATTTTATCATGAAGAACAAGAAATGTATCACTTTATCACTATAAATAGGAAAAAATCTTGAACGGATAAGCCATGAAGATTATATACTCTGAGGAAATCATGATTTTTTAATTATTTTTTTGGATAAACTCGCGAGGAAATAATCAACGAAAGAGGATTGTGGCGAGAGAGAGAGAGAGAGAGAGAGAGAGAGAGAGAGAGAGAGAGAGAGAGAGAGAGAGAGAGAGAGAGAGAGAGAGAGAGAGAGAGAGAGAGAGAGAGAGAGAGAGAGAGAGAGAGAGAGAGAGAGAGAGAGAGAGAGAGAGAGAGAGAGAGGGAGAGAGAGAGAGAGAAACAAGAGAAGGGATTCAAGGGGGAGGGCGTTGGGGTCTCAAATCCGCATACCACCACCTGTTTGATGGAGAGTGTGTGGGCGCCGGTATCCGTGACTCATCGAGATGGTGACTCGCTCCGCGCCTCCTCCGTGGGCCTATATGCTGATCCACATGCAGGTGCGGATGTACCTAATAATATTTCCGGTATCATTTAGCGTATTTCGCGGTTTTTGAGGGTGAGCTACAAATAGCAAAGGGTGTTCAATTACACTATCGGATCGTCGACAAAGCATAGAGACAACCCCAGAACTAGAACTGATAATTAAGGTACTGTATGATTCCAGTTGTCAACTTTGAATGTCGATTGTTTTGGTTTTGAGGCCCACTCCTTCATCTTAGACTTAGATCATGCGAGACCATGCCTAGCGCTCCGGCGCGACTGGCGCCCGGTAGTGTGATGAATTACTCCACTGGCTAGGGCCTAGCTATAGGCTGGCATTGCATTGCATTGCTCATACAATGTCAATGTAATATTGTAAAACTACAGTGAGCATTCTTGTAGAATGTGTTCCTGAGAAAACGGGTAGGTCTATATCAAAGAATCTTTATTTTTTGTTTGATCCCAAATTGTACTCTATTTTAAAATTGATTTGATCGAGAAAAAAAAAGAAGTTCAGTGGAAATTTAGAACAACAGCACTGCATGAGTCTGAGAAACTAAGTAACAATGTGATGATGTTATAAAAAACAAATTAATGTTTCAGAATCAATGTTATTGTGTTTTTTTTAATTTGATGATGTGAAGCAAAGACTGATAATTGTTACAATGATATTCTTTTTGTGCCGGATGTAATGACGTCATTAGAATTTTGAATTTTCTCAGAGTCCGACGTCCAAATCTAAATTATATCCTATCTATCATTTATCAAGCCTGTAAAACCAAGCAAGTTTTGATTTTTTCTTCTTCTCGTTAGCATTGTAGTAGTTGTGTTTACCAACGTTTCTAAGGCAAAGAAAAACTAAAGCAAAAAGGGTTATGGTATACTGGTTGGATTCTGTGTGCAGGCATGCATATGGAACAGAAGAAGGAGAAGAAGTAAAGAAGAGGAAGGTAATTAAGGATGATGAAGAATAAAAAGGAGGAAGCGGAGCAGAATTAAAGAGGAGAAAAATAACAAGAATACAAAAAAAGAATCGGAGGATGGTGATTATTATGATGAAACTGATGAAGGAGAAGGAGGAGAAAGAGCACAAGAAGAGGTAGACCGAATTTTCCGTCTCTTTACCGGCCGACCCTACCCCAATAAGAGGCTAACGAACGAAAGAGACGGAAAATTCGGTCTAAAGAAGAGGGAGAACTAGAGCAAGAAAAAATTCATTACAATAATCTTTAGATGGAAGAAGAGCAATTTTGCTTTTGGACGATATTCCAAGAATCAAACTTATAGATTTGTGCTAAATTGTATTTACTTCCAATGTCCTCTCTATTGCCATGGCAATGCAGGTCATAACCATGGAGACTGGTAAAGGAGCATCGTTGCTTTCTCAAGCCCCAGCATATGTAGCAGAATGTTCTCACGAGTATGATGGGTTCATCATGCCAAAGATGATGCCAGCTAGATGCATTGAATCTGCCAAAAACTTCAAAGTCAGGGATGACGATCTCTTTCTAACAACTTATCCTAAATCAGGTACGTCTTCTTGGTATAATGGTGGATTAATTGATTAATTAATTAATTAATATTTGTTGTTTTTCTTTTGTTTGTTTATTTATGTATTTTATGTGTTTTATTTGATTTGTTCTTAACAAAAATTAATTAATTAAGTTATCATATACAATTATGTATATATATATATATATTTTATTTATTTATTTATTTAGGGGGGGGGGAACAACTACCAGCACAGAATCACTTTTTGAGTGTGACAAAACATCGTGCAAAACATGCAAAACGCACCTGAGATAATGTAATATTAATCTTTTTTTGTGTGTGCTTCAAATGACAATTTTCAGGCACTTATCTCATGCAGCAGTATAACATGGGTGCAGTAAATTGTTCTAATTTAAAATGTGCAATTTTTAGAATAGTTCCCCTTGGAATCATCCAATATGCCTTTATCGTAATTTCATGAAATGTAATGCACAAATCTTTGTTAAGTGCACCATTGCAAATTTATTTCATTCACTTATTAATTATGAATAATAGAATTTCAGTCAAAATGAGAATTGCATACATTAATTGTTACTAGCTAGGACAAACATTGCTTGTCGTACCTATAAAATGTAATTTGATTACATTAAGAAAAAATGGTCTCTTGAGAAATGTCAGGCCTCCATCTCTTGCAGGTACGACATGGGTGCAGCAGATTGTTCTTCTCGTTCATCATGACGGTGATAAATCCAAACTTGAAGGCAAACACATCTTCTCCATGGTCCCATTCATAGAGGCTGTTGTAGGCATGAGCAAAGATAATGTAGGTCAACAAGGTTTCCTTGAACTTTTTATATGTTCCATATGCTCCAGTGTTTTTCACATACATAAAAATTTATCCTCTGATTTGCATTTCTTCAGGTTTGGAATCTATTCTATATTATACCAACACATTCATGTTTCTTGTCGTTTTGATGATTGAGAAGAATCATACATATAGCAAATGTTAAGTGCTGGCTGCAGTTATCTCATTTTGGGGTGGGGGCGGGGGAAGGTAATTTTTTTTTTACTTAATCCTTCTGAAATAGACTGTATTTGGAGAGTCAGTACTCTTGGGATTTCTATTGGAATTTTTTCTTTCTTTTATGGTGGGTTAATAGATAGAAAACACGCAAAGAAACTATTGATGTCATATACCTTCTCCTTTTGTAACTTCCTTTATACATTCACTTGCATAGAGACAATACTCAATTATCTGTGGTTGTGCAGGATTTCAAAAACAATGGCCAACTCAATGGCATTGTAAACTTTTTTATTACCTTGGACATTGTTATTTACCGGTATTCAATTTTTTCTTCTGGTAAAGGCCGATACCGCACGCATGCAGTCAGAGGTCGCAGAAGAGAAACCGTCACCGAGGATCCTGAAGACTCAGCTCCCACCTCGCTTGCTCCCTGCGAGCATCCACGACGGGTCAAAGGGCAAGGTCATTTACATCGCCAGGAATCCCAAAGACATGATGGTGTCCTACTTTCACTTCTGTAAGATAACCGCCAATCTACCGACCTATGACTCTTGGGATGTCTTCTTCGAAGAATTCATGGCTGATAGAGGTGATCTTTCAAATCTCTCTTGATTCTCATTCGTTCACATATGCTACAGTAAACCGCTACCGTTTACTGCCACATTTTTAGTGTGTGTACTAAATGAGTGGCAAGTAGGAATGAAAAAAGTAGCTGCATGCCCCCCAAAAAGTCCTAAGCATTTACCTACATGTAGCTGTGTGTTATAAGAACTACAGTACGCTTCGAAGTGAACTTACACTTAACACCCATGGCAAACTGCCATGGTTTTCCGGAGCATATATGTGACCCAGCTTTTAATGCTAATGTTTAGTTCTGGTAATGGAATTGAATTTGAGAGAAACTGGCTCCAATTGATTCTGAATCTGTTTAATATGTGGCATATCTGTGTTTTCGATCAGCAAAATGTAAGCAATATGACTAAAACTTGCTGGAAATGTACATTCACTGAACCATGTGCTACATAGCTCAAGATGTGGTCAGGATGTTCAGCTTGATTTCTTGTTTTTCTCTGCATGCTAATTGATCGGCTTTTGTACACTTTCCAAGAACAACATTAATAATGATAATGAAATAATAATTATAGTTATAATGATAATAATGATGATGTTGTTGACGATGATGATTACGGTGAAGAAAATGATGGGAACAATAGCTATCAATTTTTTTCTGAAATAACCCATTAAAAAAAAAATTATCTTTCTAACAGTACCAAGAGGTTCCTGGTTTGACAGCGTGCTTTACTGGTGGAAGAGAAAAGATGATCCAGCAGTACTCTTCCTTAAATTTGAAGATATGAAAAAGGTAAGATCATGATCCCAACCACCCTCCCCCCCCCAAAAAAAAAAAAAAAAATGAAAAAAAATAAATAGAAGTCATAGAAGGATATCAAATAATCAATGCTTGTCATTTTTACTTCTATTGAGTCCATGCCATTTTGATTTTTTCCAGCTGATATATGTTTATTTTTGGATGGATAGTGTTAGAATTCAAGATGCTTTTGTAACAAATCAGAAGAGTTGTGTATTTTTTCTGTTGTTATATATTTTACTGCATTGCTTTTTTTCTATGACTATAAAATCACACACTTTTGTAATCAAATGACAGAATTTAAAGGGAGCAGTCAAGCAGATCAGTGAGTTCATGTGCAAGTCTTTGTCTGACGAAACCATTGAGAGCATCGTAGAGAGTAGTACATTTGATGCCATGAAGAAGAATAGGAACTCCAATCCAGATAGTCTACCCCAGCTTCAGGCTGATGCTAGTAAGAAGAAGACCTTCTTGAGGAAAGGTACGTCAGATCAATTGCGACATGCTCTCCCCAGATTTCTGTTCTAACACCATTTCCTGAAGTGACATTTGCTCAGGGCCCGTATTCAATTCAATACATAAGTTTGAAATATGACTATTTTGCTTATTCTTTGGCTTAGATAAAATACTTGTCTTAGCCAGTTTTGGTATTCAGTTCAAACTTTTGGCCAAGTATTTTACCCTAAATTTAAGACAGCTCCGTACTAGACTTCAGCCTAATATTTGGAGGCCTTGATTGGCAGGCGTATGGTTTTTTAACGCAGTATCAATAATATCAGTATCTGTATCAATAATATAATAATAATATCAATAATAATATAATATTAGCGCACATTTATTGCGACACATTAATTGCGCATTACTTTTGATTGACCATGTGATGTCACAATACTTATCAGTAAGTATTTAACTTAGATTTTGTCTAATGTATGTAAAAGTCAAAATGCAATTTGAATATAAGATGTTAGCATAGCAATTTACTTCAAATTTCTTACTTATTCCAAGTATTCAATTGAATACAGGCCCTGGACTTTACTTCATCAAGAATACAGGGTTTGAGTTGAATTTATCTGTTGACTACGGAATACATTCATTTCCGTAGGCTTAATAGTAGGCGATGGGATAAGTTTAAGGTTATGTTAAGGGTTAGGTATTAGAATATAGTGTTTGGTCCAGCATTGAAGTTAGGAATTTGATTAATGTGGGAAGTTGACTGTGAAGTAGCACATATTGATATAGCAAGTCTAATAACAATAGGAGCCTAGAGCATAAAAGAATGCAATAAAGAAATATTTTATTCATTATGAACTCAAATGCCAGTGTCAGTGTCAGAAAACTGTTAAAATAATATTTGAGGCCATCAACAAATGATGTAATTTAAGTTAATGTCCCATGTATTTCCTTTCTAATACCCTCCCTCTAATAATCTCTATTTGGATCATGACCCAAGATCAAGAACCATTATCATGAACTTACCATTTTATTTTTCAGGTGTTGTTGGTGACTGGATGAATTTCTTCAGTGATGAACAGAACGAACGCTTTGATGCGGTCTACAAGGAGAAGATGGCTGGATCTGGTCTGGACTTTGTTTTCCAACAGGATTAGATATCTGTACTTGGACTTATACAGGTCTTCGAGAAAGAACACTACAAGGACTAAATTCTCGGTGCTAAATTTTCTTTCTTATATATTTGTTTTATGTGAGTCACTTTTCACTAGTGCAGGTGGAATAATAATGTTCATTTTCTTTCTTCTTCTAAAAGACAAAATATTTTTGTTTTGGGCTAATGGTATGACAAACTTGTTCCAAATCGGCTGAATTATTACTAAAATTGTTGAAAAATTATTCTTTCTTCAATAAGAGTAGTTGTTCATTACTATGTCAAAATTTGTTTAGGGATGTCCTGTATGATTTGACGGCTGAAAATATCTAAGGTGTCCAAAATATAGGCTTTTACTTATGGGTCTGTGTAATTGTTGATTACTGTTCATACCTCTTTGCCAGTCAATTCTGTACTATGCATGATATGTTATATGAAGATGTATTTTTTCATGGTGGAAAGAATTGATCAGATATTGATGTCAAATTTAACATGTATCATACCAAAAATTGATGAAGTACTCCATCGTAATATAAAAAATGTGTGTTGCCTCCCCCCCCCCCCCCCCAAAAAAAAAACCCTCTGCAAATATACTACAGAACAATAGTTGTATGTGCATTCATTGATACTAGTTATTACTATTAATTCTGTTAGGCAAATTAAGAAATTAAGATATAGAAGTCAATGAAAAAACACAATTATGAGACAGTGAATCAATGTTGCAATCAACTTGCTAATTTGCATCAAATTTGCACACTTGATAATGAAATAAGAATAGACTACCGCGGGTAGCCTTTTATCTGTGGACAAAAAGCACAGATTATGTGTTTCCTGTACTTTTAATGAATCACCATAGTCTGTGGGCAGGCTGTTTCCTAATGTTACGTAATATTTCCTATATAATTGTATCAATGGTGCTTCACTTGATTTGCTGTCTGACATGATCAGATGTACAGTAAGATTCACGTATTAAGAATGAGAAAAACCCAAGGTTTTACAATGAATTTCAGGCTCTTCTAAAAAAGATGAAGTTTTTTTCTCTATCAGTGAACCAGGGGGAGGGATGGCAAGTGCCTTCCAGCAAAACCAAGATTTTCTATTGAGATCTTTATAGTAGAATAGTAAAGTAATTATGGTTTATACTTGCTCCTTACTATCCTTCAAATAAATGCAAAGTTCTACGGGTCATATGTGCTCATTTCAGGTGGAATCAGCAGAGCTTATAACTGCCGGGAAACTACAACATTTTTCTGAAAACGTTTCTTTTCTTTGTTCTGATTATTATTATTATTATTAGTTTCATTAATATTATTATATTATTAGTATTATATCTCCTTCTTTCTTGATAGATCGAGAGATATCCTTGCATATCTCCAGAAAGGCTTTAATTATTAAATAAGGAGGCTTTAAGAAATTAAATGGCTTATGTCCATTTTAGATTTGTGTTTGTTTATTGTGTCTAGATATGAACGTAATTCGGATATCATCAGTATATCGACTAGTTATATTCTTTGTGTGAATTGTAAAGTTACATTGACATTTTTTTAGCATTTGTTCTTGGGTATATTTACCAAGTATAATACTTTCTTGACAACCGGATATGCCATTGACCAAACTCACCAAAGGTAATGTTTTGTGTGCTGTTATTTTTTATATTGATCATAAATAATTCTATGCTGAATATTATGAATGTTATTGATAGAGTTAGATGACATCATGTGAGAAATATTATTTTATTTATCATTAAGTTTTTCTCTGACCAAAGATTTTGTGATATGTAATGCCATATGTGTCAATGACCAAAGCTGTCATGTGTAATATTGAATGAAAGAGAATTTATCATGTGATAAATTTACTTCAAAGTAAAAGAAAATGCAATGTTGTATGTCTTGCTATATCAGATAATATTATTTTGGCAAAAAATAATATAATAGGCTCTGTACATGCATCATGTTGTTCATCATAAATATTATTATGTAAACATGTGTATTTCGATTGCATTGAGCATGGAAAAATGTAAAATATACTTTGGATCATTTTTTCTTTCTGCAACATAAATATATGGTACCAGCATTATATTTGTATTTGAGAACTGAAAATACAATCTCACATCTGTTTTATGATTGTAATCTGTAATAAATCATATATTATGATACCTAATATAGTCCATAGTTGAGGACTTGCTTGTATTAAACAATCTTGTATCTATCTGATCTACCTGTAGTTTCTTTTCCTCTGTACTACTACTTCATATACTGGTATATGTTACAAGTAGTATTGTACAATTTCGATTTGGAATGTAGGCATTTGTAAAGTCAGTAATTTGAGTAATTATACAGTTAGTAATTATTATTATCCTTATGGCTGAATATTCATATGTCAGAAAGAGTTGGGAGACCTGGGGGGTGTTTCACAAAGATCCCAAGTAGAACTTAACTCTAAGTTGGACTTGAAAATTATGGAAAGCCATTAGCGTCTTTGAAAATATTTTGTAAAAGTTATTTTAAAAGGCATAAAATGTTGATTCAAATCATTCATATTTTCTATCATCAAGGAGATTTCATGTTCTGGATGTGGAATTTATAAAAAGTCTAAAATACTTGAATTTCTGCTTTTGAATATATTTCATTTTAAGGCTCCAATGGCTGTCCATAATTTTTATGTCCCACTTAGTGTTAAGTTCTACTTAGGATCTTTGTGAAACACCCCCCTGAGGTATTTGTTTCAAGCTCACCATGACCATGGACCAGTAATGGCATGGTGGTATAGTCACTGCCCGGCAAGTCCTGCTGGTTCCAAGATTTTTTCTGGCTTATTTTTAATTACAAGATTGACCATGCTCACAATCTGTATCTACTAGTTGCAAGCCAAACAAATTCGTTTCTATTACAGTAACTATTTGTCAAATTAGGTTCCTTGTAAATTTTCAGGACTTGTGGTCATTACCTATAGGGTAGGAATTTGTGCACTTTCTGTTTGATATACTGCTTTGGTATCAGTTTGGCGGGTTAAGTGAGTTACCGTAGGCATGAAGACTTTTCAATAGATAACATTTAAACTATTTAGTCATTTTGGTATTTAAATGGTAATAAAGTAAATCTGCAGCATTTTCTGATCATACAGAATTATGCTTGCATGTATACAGCTTATCTTGCCTATGATTGTAACTCATCAGGAATTATAAATGAAAATTACAGGAAGATGCTAGCCCTAAAGGTGGCTTTGTGACAGAAAAGGTATGCAAAACATGTGAATGAACTGTTTATTATATGTCATTTATTTATTGTTTTATTTATAATCTACATATTTTTTTCATGTTTTCCATGGTATGAAAATGGGCTTTTTATCTACTAAGTATCACAATATAAGGTCATATTTTATTGCTTACAACAGTTTTTCTCAATTTTTCAAAGTGTGTGAGATTTCTGCCTAATGTTAATATTCCAAATAAATAGGTCATTGATCCTACTTCCAGTAGATAATATTATGTTCTTGAAAAGGTCACCTACCTTCAGATGGCAGACAATTTATGGATGAATAAATCAATATTTTAATGTTTCATTTAATATCTATACTTATGGTTCTCTTTCCTTATTTGAGATTTTGTACATTGATTGAAATGTATTGGTGTATAGTGGTATAGACACTGGGACGGGTATGTGCCCCCCTCCTATATATATTGTGAGGGGGAAAGAGAGAGAAAAGCAAAGAGTTATATGGAAAAGCAATGTGAAAAGATGATGATCAGAACTCACCCACAGGCCATACCCATTCCTCATTTTATGGCTCATATTTCATCCATCTAGTAATTCCAGCCCCCGACCCCCGACCCCCCGACCCCCGACCCCCCGACCCCCGACCCCCTACTCCGACATGCCTGGAAGCGTTATTTTTTTATGCGGCACAGATTGGGGCTTTTTTTTAAAAGGGGTCTTGATTTACAGACTAATAGTGGTCGTGTGCGTACTAGTAGTAGAGGTCTGTTTTTAATAGTGTTACATGTAATCAACTACCGTATGAAAAATCATTACATCAACAATTAAAATGCAATTGGAAATCTGAAGAGGAGGCAGCACGTCAATAAGAAGAACATCACAATAATTAGTCAATAAAACTTAATAAACTTAAACGAAGAGGAATGTTATCTAAACACATAGTTCGCGATGGATATTCAAACTTCTTCGCAGCGCTAATGCGCTAGCGAACATGCCTAGTCTCACGTACGTGCAGACATTATTCAGAAGGGAAAGAACGTACTTCCCATAGGCTCAACACGCACCATGCCCCAATCTGTGCCGCATAAAAAAATAACGCTGCCTGGAATCGGTGGCCACGCCCACAACTACAACTTCCACGTGTGGTATGTTACCGGAAGTTAATTGTTTTGTTGGCGCGGCGTTTGTGTGACGGATTTTTCATTTTAAAAGCCCAGTTATCGGTATTACTGTAAAGTATTTTCATCGAAAACTTCGAGATCCTATAGTCTACTGTTAGTTATTTTTCTGATGCTTATAGTCTTTGCATGATCTGTATTTTATGAGAATTATAGCCGTTCATGCAGTCCGGCTGACTGAGCTGAGTGTGAGTGAAAATGTGGTCTGTGGAGCATGCAGTGACTGTTGCGTGTTGGATGTCCGATGCGATGGTGTGATATGTCCGGACGCGGACGCTAAAGCCCGGCCCTGGCGATCCGTATCATTGAGCATATCGACGGTTGTTCCGCTGAGATTGCATCTAGCTAGCTCCTCTTACCGCCTCTAATCTGTCGACAAATGTCAGTTTTATTAAACAAGAATGACCCATACCTATTTTACCAGACGGTTATTTCTGGCCTAATAATAAGCTATCCCTTTTGTAAATATTTCCCCCATATTTAATCATGTGTAGTTTTGATAACTTTGAAACATTTTTAGAAGTGAAACATTGATGGATTATGTTATAGACCTATGGGGACCTTGCTCTTAATTACAAGCCCAGCTTTTCTAAGGTCTCCACTTTCTTTCATTTTGATTATAGATCTAGACCCTATATTGACTTAAAATTGCACTTAAATTGTTTTTTCTTATGCTGTTTTTTGTTCTATTATTATATGTAAAAATGTTGTGAAAGAAAGAAATAAAATAAACCTTGAACCTTGGGCTAAAGCTATTCTGGTAAATTAACTGGCGCTAATTCAGAATCAACTCCATACTTTGACCCATATCTCCGCCGTAAGGACTAAAACATACCAAAAAATCAACTAAATCTTCATCAATTGTTCAAATGATGGTCATGATGATTTGAAAGTCAGGCTTAAGTTTTTTACCCGTTTCATGTCAATTTTCTCATCTTTTTTGAAGTAATTTTCCCCCAAAACGTGACACAATCTACACTTTCTCACAGGTTTCACGGCAAACCTCTGCACAATACAATTGCATACTGTATAGTGTACCGAGGGTGAGGTGTGGGCGCGACTGAAGTTATCAACTGTCTGTAATAATCTCAGATCCATTAAATTCATCGTTACGGTAACTGCTAACTTCACACACGCGTGCCCGCTCCCCACATTCGGATAGGTATGCAACTGCATTGTGCAGCAGTTTAGTGTGAATTCTCTGAGAAATTGTGTATTATAAATTCTCTGTCATTCCCCTCACTTAATTTGCAGCTTGAAATAGTAACAAGAAGGCCTACATCCATCGACACGTCACACCATGTCGTCATCAAACCAAGAGCTGCCAAGCTGCCAACGAGAATGGAAGGCTTCATCAGCATCCTCCATTGCAGGAACTGGAGATGATGCAGTCACAGTGATCTTGTACAACATCTTGGCAGCCATCCACATCAAGCCCAGAGGATACCCGTTCTGCCCGGCAGGATTCCGGGAGACGTTGGAGAGGCATCCCCAGTTGATGGTTGAACTTCGTCACCATGATGATGCAGACATCGTGTGCTTGCAAGAGGTACACCTACCTTATAATATAGCTCACTGATTGTGTATTCAACTCTTTGCATGTTTCTTTTCAGAGGTTTTCATTAATTAAGCAATGCCTGTAACTCAAATAAAGGGTGAATATCTTTAAACTTCTGACAACTTAAAGATCGTCTATGCCTACATGTAGGGCAGGGCTTTTCAAAGTCCAGACTGCAGGGTATGACAATTTAAAGGAAAATACAGAATTTTGAAAGTGTCAATGATTTTTTAAAGGAAATTGAAGACAAAACAATGACAATCAAAAGAAAGTTAAGAAATACTGAGAAAGTGAAATTTGTTTCTCTTGTATCATTTAAAAACAGTGGCAGATCCAGATTAGGTCTAGCCAAAATGGTCGCCCCCCCCCCCACCCTCTCCTTCGGCAGCATAAATAAATAAAGGGGGGACGAGAAAGAGAGAGAGATGGAAGAAAAGTAGAAAAGAAAGAGAAAAAGAGAAAAAATTAAGAATCGCTATTCTGTTTAACTGATCGGCAACATATTGAATAGTATGAAAACCAAATCTCAAATCCAACCTTTGCTGTGTTTTGTTTAGTTTAAGCTTCTACCAGCAACCTCAAAATTGAGTAAGTAACATTTTGTTCACCCCAGTGATATGATACTTTTGATAAATCACACAATTTTTTGTTTTCTGCTGCCTCGAGTTTACTGGAGCAAAGAAAGGTGACAATCAATAGTCCGAGTCCCTATTCAGGAAAGGCTTGATCCTTTTTATCCAGGTGGATTCTTTGACCTTTCTTGACCAGGAGGGCCTTTCAAAATTCAAACTCATGTGGCCATCATCCCATAGAATTTTAAAAGAGCAAAAACAGATTCCTCAGATAGAGCATTCCATCTCACCATGTTATTAGCAAATCACTGGACTTACAATTTGATTGGATGATTTCCTCATTATTGAGCTTGAAAGCCCTTCTGGTCAAACAAGGTGAAAGAATCCACCTGGAATAAAAGGATTAATCCTTCAAATAATGTTTCTGTCATTGTTATCTAAAATGTTATCTTCGCTCCAGTGATCTTGAGCGTGGAATGACCTTCTGGTCAAGTAATGTGAAAGAATCTATCATGATAAAAAGGATTAATCCTTCAATGAATGTTCCAGTCATTGTCATCTACAATGTATCTTCGGTCCAGTGATCTTGATGAAAGAACCCATCATGATAAAGAGGATTAACCCTTCACTGAATGTCTATGTCATTGTCACATATCTTCACTCCAGTGATCTCTAGGCAGAATACACTATGAACATGACAGACAATGAAAGCGGACAAAATATACAGTTCCTCAGGTAGACAAAGGAACATCCCTTCTCTGCTATTATGTAAAAATGTGTAGAACAGGTGAATATGCATGTGACACCTGTTCTACACATTTTTACATAATATCAGTGAAGGGATGTCCCTTTGTCTACCTGATGAACTGTATATTTTGTCCGCTTTCATTGTCTGTCATGTTCATAGTGTTAAGGAGAGTGTTTGAATACAGAATAGTCACTTGGCTTGAGAAAGTCCACAAGAGTAGACATAAGCTTGCTACTATATTTTTAAGGTTGGTAGAATTTACATGTTAGGATTACCCCAACCAATGGAAGTTTCTCTATCATAGTGTGTGTTTCTATCTTAAAGGCTCTGAATTTTGAAATCACAACTGGACAGTCAAGGAAACAGTTCTAGCAGCCATTTGGAGTCTGTAAAATTTGATGCTGTACTATTCAAAGGCATGCATATTTTATATACATCACTGGGTATTGCTGGTTGGGGAGTGTACATGCACTAATGTATCCACTAATTATTCAAATACGTGTATCCGATTTCCATCCTTGGTAATGTTTTCTAATAGTGCTTGCTATCGCTTTATTTGTTCTTATTTTTCTTCGATGTTTACTAATAGTGTTCTCTATTGCTTTCTTTTTTCTTGTTTTTCTTCAAGGTAGAGACCGATTATTACCACCAGACCTTACTTCCAGAACTTCAAAAGTTAGGATACCATGGCGTCCATCATCAAAAGGCTTTAGGAATACGAGAGGGCGTGGCCACCTTCTACCGGTCAGAGAGGTTCAGGATTGAGAAGCAGGAGACCGGTCACTTTAAAGATTGGATAGCTGAGGTAGGAACAGAAAATAAAAGCTTACTCTTACTCTGCACTATCTTGACATCAAAACCTGAATTAAATACAGCTGTATCAATCGCATAAAGTGAGAGTTCTGTACGTGGATTAAAATGTTTACATACACCAGGGAGTGGTCACTTCATCCAATTGACTGTACCCCAGATTTAAGCTCCCCCCAAAAAAGAAAAAAATTGCTGATACTTTTTGCCGATACCGATCACAGGTGTGAGGGTGTTGCTCCAATCTTCCGATCCGATCAAAGCCCCAACTGACAGGGTTAATATGAAGTAATTTTATCCTTGACAAACTGACAATTCAGTTACGGAAATAAGATATAGCAAAAGAAAATTATTAAGTAGCACATCGATAATGAAATCAAGAAATTATGTAGGTTTTGATTTCGAATTTTCACTCACATTACTGTTTTTAAAGAAACTGGTTGGAGAGCAGATTGATGCTGCTCTACGTGAAGCTATTAAGAGTCGTGCCGAATATGAGACGCCAATCTTGCTTACATCGTTCACTTGCCTGAAGACTGGGCGGCCTCTCACCGTAGCTAACGTTCACCTGGTATGGCAGACCCACATAGTACCTGATCTCAATACATTGCAGGTATGTTAAAATGGATAGATTGATATTATTTGGAGCAAGTAATTTGTTGAGTTCTAACTTGCTTTTTAGGAAGTGATTCACCCTCTATTTATGACTACAAACTTGGAATATAAGGACTACCTCACATATTAACATGGAAGTTATTGTGATTAAATCTAGTATAATGTCTTTTAATATCTACATTTTTTAGCATTTCAAGCTAAATCTGTATTGTTAGAAAATTTGATTCCAATATTTGTGATCTCAACTGAATTAACCTGCTCAGATTTTTTTTCTAAGACATTTCTTTGCTTGTTCCTCTCATTTGTTTATTGAGAGGAAGAAGAAGAAACAATCCTTTCTTACTTAATTCCACAAAAGTATCTTCTTGTCAAGGGTAGGGGTCGACCTTCAACTGTTTGTCTTTAGTTATCCGCCTGCAGTACTTTATCACTGATCTACAATTTTGTTCTGGGTTTCATTTCTTCGACAATATAGGATAAGGGCTTGTCAGTTATCACATCGGTGACTAATTTTGATCTGAAGTGATGTACAGTCAAACCTGTCTATAGCGACCACCCAAGGGAAACACAAAAAGTAGTCTTTGTAGATGGGTTCCTTTAGTACATGTTTCAATGAGAAACCATTTTCATGGGAAACCAAAAATGTGGTCTTTGTAGACAGGTGGTCACTAAAGCAGGTTTGACTGTTTATTCTTTGATCTGTTTCATTGTTCCAGGCAGCTTTAGCTCTTCAAAGACTTGACGAGTTCTCAACACAAGATGGCCCCTGCATCATGTGTGGGGATTTCAACCATCAGCCCGTCATGCCTGGGTATCAGCTCATCAGAGACGGTTTTCTTGACAACGAGAGTCGGATGCATCTCAGAAAATTTCCACTTTTTTCTGGAGCCGATGTAAAGCATGGAAAGGTAATGGGGGATTTATTTACTTTGTAGGATGTGTAAGATGTGTATTTTTAATACCGGTAGACAGCAGCATATCAAGAAAATGAAAAACATTGGGGGGGGGGGGGCGATGGGTGTGCATCTATCCAAAACAGCCCTGTGTTCTATAGACCCACTGCAAATTTTATTGATTAGGCTTGGGGGTGGGGTTTTGATATGGTTTATTGATAAAAACATACATTCGAAATAGCAGCCAGAGGCCGAAACAAATTGAATTTACAGAAGATTGATACATACAAATGCATGACCTTAAAATTCGATTTGGTAAGACACAATTATGTTTACATCAGATTACAAAATATGATTGGCAATTCATAATGAATAATCAAGGAGATAAAAGAAAAGACAGAGAAACAAGAGAGCAGACTGAAACGGATGACTAGAGGATTATAAAAGGAGAATGAGTAAAGAAGGCAATGAGGCAAACTTGGTAGAAGATTAGGAGGACTGACAAGAGTCACAAGGCAATAAAGAGAAAGAGAAACTGGAGAGGAGACTAGACAATCGTAGGGACAGGTAAAGAGTAGGGCAGATAGATAGGCTGAAGTGGAGAACTAACAAAAAGTAATCAGATAAAGTGTTTAACAAATTATAGTGAGGCTTAAAAAATATGAATATAATACCGTAAATGCAGCATCATTGATAGTATATTACATGTATGGCAATTTATGCTCTAGAATTCAGTATTTCATTTTATAATCGGTTATAATTGGTCTCAATGTCACTGGTCAAACCTGCATGAGTGCATTAGTAGAAAATCTCATGGAAAAGTTATCTTGACAGTAAAGACCGGCTGTAATGATTCTGTGCTACCAACATGAGATCTGTAGAACCTGTCTGTAAAAAAAATAAAATTATAATACATTTTGTTTTTTCAATTCAGGAATCTTGTTTAGTGGATATCCTTCCTAAGTGGTTCTGTCATAGCTTCAAGCATTTTAAAAGTTCTTATGCAGAGATTCAGGTAAGTGCTAGTCTCTGTGCAAAGCAGAGTTGAAACATCCTTGTCAATCAACTTACCCTTTTTCTCAAGTAATTTGTGTAAAATTATAAATCCAAGCAATCGATCATTCATTTTTTCACTCACTTATTTTATTCATTTGTTCATTCATAGATTCATTCAAATGATTGCATGAGTAGTTGAAGTCTTGTGATATTCAATTTATTTTGAAAAACTTTTGTAAACATATTGTTCAGATTTGTGAATGATAATCTTTTTTTGTGTGTATTTATCATATTTTTGTGGAAGGCATATCGATTAACTACGATATAACAAGAGTGTATGTTTGACAGCCAAAGCTAAAATAAACCGAACAAACTACTGGTGCTGCATTTTTACATTTATAGTATTTACATTTTTACCTTATTTGATATTACCCCTTATGTGTTCCACCAAAATCAATCTTATGCCCAGGATTCTGATCATGATCTAGTATAAACATTCTCAAAAACTCAAATAAATGAATAAAAGGCTTTCAGTATAATGGTGTAATAATTATCTTTGTAACTTTGTGTGTGCAGGGAGAAGAACCGCCATTCACTTGCTACACAGATAACTATGGACCACAGTGGATAGAGGATTACACAAAACACAACAGATTGGATGGATTTCTAGAAGAGGTTAGCATCATATCAAATTGTTAGCTTTGATGTGACATGAAATTAGGGAGTGATTCTTAGTTGATATACAGTGCGTCCCAGAAAAAACGAAACCGAGAATTATCGATGTTTTATCATAACTAATCACATTTATAATTGATAAATGACACATATTTGGAAAGCTTAGATCCTCCTCTTTCATTTGATGCAACTCATTATGATGCATATTTCACGCATGAGTGATTAAAATCAATTTGAAGAGAGGAAACCGAAAAGTCGTTTGGCGGGCAGTATCTGAATTTCAAAGAGAAAATCAAATTTCTAGAAAGTTGGGTTTCTGCCCTTTCATATGACACCTCAATCAGGAAAAATAAGCAAAGAATGACAAAGTTCTGTTTGTTTAAAGTAGCCCTTACATTTTCATAATTTGAGCAAACAAATTCGTTTTCACTGGCTGCCTGCTGTAGCAAAAAGCAGAATTGACAAAAGACTTAACTCCGTTTCGTTGACAATCAGCCATGCATGAAGTCTTTCGTCTACGGCTGATTGTCAACGAAACGGAGTTAAGTCTTTTGTGCGCTATACAAGAATCCAATAGGATATGTATTTCATTATTCTCTTTTGCATGTTTGCTCTCGACCAACAGTCGGAAGAATCGTCAGACCCCCCAACACCGAGGCACTTTCCTCTGAAGGTCATGGATTCAAGTCTCAACAGCAGCATTGCCCCTCCCTGCCACATACAGACCTTGGATTACATCTGGTATACAGCAGAGAAGCTCCATTGCCTAGGAGTGGAGGAGGTCGTCAAGAAAGAAGAGATTGCCCCCTACTGGGCATGTCCCAACCAAGTCTTTCCCTCTGATCATTTGTTGATGAAAGCAAAATTTGCTTTTTGTGGTTTGTAACAGAAAACAGTCGCTAAATTGTGCTATATTTTTGTATTGAATATTGGTTCAGATTGAATACTAATATTGTAATGATGCTCTATATTTAAACTGTCTTAGATATTGTAAGCAAAATTTTACTTTTTTTATGATGAGATGTACAGTAAGTCCATGAATGGTCTTCCTCATTGATACAATGAGCAGAACAAAGATAAAGTGAATAGAAGGGTTTCCTTTCACATGGGTAGACAATCCTCTAAATAAATGAAGTGCAGTCTGCAATGTTGAAACACTGGCTATGTGGTTTGCGGAATGGCTTCTCAAAACCAAAGAGTCAGAGTTTCCGAAAACATGAAAACTTGTAATAAAATAATGATAAAGGAAATCACATCAAAATCGCTTTATCTAAACCAATGGGAAAACTCACAATTGGTCAAAACAGACTGCTTTTTAGTGAGTCCATGCGCATTGTTAAAATACAAGTAAAATGAACACAATAACATTAACAAACAAATATAGAACAAATTCAAATATCTACATGTACAAACAAATATTTGAAAAAAACTGGAAATGACAAAAACAAATCAAATTATCCAGGCATGACATGCGCCTGTGAGGTTGACCAGCCTGCCTGTTTCATTTTGTGTCTAGCAAATTGTCAAGAATATAATTAGACTTACAATTTGTACCAAGCCATAATGCATACTTTCCTTCCATCCTTGGTGAAAGCAGTAAAGGTAATCTTACCATCTGCTTTCCAAGTCTTCTTCTTTTTTAAACATTCACATTGTCACAAAAGATAATCTCAAAATAAATACATATTTCTCTTCAATGATACAGACATGATGGAATGAAGCAGAACATCTCATAAAATAAAATTCAGTAAGATTTCAATTATACTATACAGATACCATTCCATATTTTCTTATGTAGTTCAAAACAGATATTATGCATTCTGTTTTTTTCTAATTGTATTAGAGAAAATAGGAAGGATTTAAATTAATATTTTTATTTAAGTCCAAGTCTACTTGACATTGTCAAGGGTCCTTTCCTTGAACAGGAAATGTGATCTGTAAGCTGTCAAGACCTCCTGTAAGAAGAACTACTGTTTGCGATCAGCTTCCGTATGCACATTGGCGGGATATGCCAAAGATTTCCTGTTTTATTTTCATGAATGTGTCGATGTAAGGGGAAGATATTCTACCTTCGCGAATGCTTGGGTCATAATAGACTAGCTTGTGACATTACCATTAAATCACAAAATATATTGCTCACCTTTCCACTCCAGATTGGCAGGATTACGAAAGCCCTGAGCAATTGATCTAGTCTTGGACAAGCTTATATAGGGTGGTGATGTAATTTATTCAACTTCCAATTCCTTTATCACGTTTAGCTGCATTCAATATTATATATATTACATGGGTCGCCCTAACAGTGGTACTTGTCTGGTCAGTCGGCGGTCATTTTGGTCAAGGTCAGTCAACAGGCAACATAATGATAACAAATGTAGACCTTCCAATGAAACAATATTAAGTAGAAGGTTGGAATCTTAGATAAAACAACTAAGCAGATTTTGACAAGTATACAAACTAAATAAAAGATGGCTAGTGCAATCTACGAATTTGTTGCAAATAAATTACGCAGATGCACATTATTTAAAGTATTAAAAACAATTAACTACATGTAATTACTACAACACTATTTTCTCTTACACACTCACTCACAAAGTTGGAACCACAATGTTTCACTTACCCAACGCGCCTGATGTGTTCAAATTTAAAAGCAGCGGAGCATTAGAATTATCAAAGAAAAAAAGAAGGAAAGTCGAAAATTCAGATTTCAGAGTCAAATTTAAATTTATCTGGATCATAAGTGAAGTTACGGTAAGGCGTTGATGTCCTCATCATGGTCCTGGGTGCATGCTGTCCGTCGATTTCATGGGCGTAAATTGTTTGTCGATCTCCTGGGTGACATCCGTCAATGTCTAGCTGGGTGTTGCATCCAACGTGGTTTGCCGTTGGCGTAGACGTCCATGTCAAGGGTGTTGTCCATTACTTTCATAATGCGATGTCGTCGGTCGAGCTTCAAGAAGGAAGATGAGCTACATGTATAGGTTGAAGTCTACGTCGCCATGCATGTTGTCGTCGTTGATTAATTTTGTGTCATGTTTAGTGTCGTTTTCAGCAGAAAAACCGAGAGATATAAATGTTCACTTCAATTCCTGGTCCTCACAATAAGTAGAAGGAATAAAATTCTATAAAATCAGGTTCTCCACCATGTCGTGTTTGGGATCGGTGTGTTAAGTTATTGGAATATTGAGAGGTACATAAAATAAAGAGATGCTGAGACTTTCTTTGAAGTGTAATATGCAAGAGTATAATTTATTATAACTCTAAAACGATGAGTCACATAGTCCAGATTCACAAGTATAGAGCAGCCAAAGTATAGGTGCTAGCTTGGTGATGGTCTGAATTCTTCTCCTCCCAGAAAGCCAGAACAATACACCCTAAGTTCTAAAAAGGAGCAGTAATAGCAATAGTATTAAAAACCACTGCTCCTACTGATTCTACAAAATAACCGGAGAACAGGCCAAAAAATATTGTCCTCCCGTCCTCCGGAAAAGACTACAGATTATGGTAACAGCTACTACAGTACTGCCCTACCGGACAGAAAAACTACCAAAAACAACCAAAATCGGTACCCCAAAATCAGAATACAGCATCAAAAATACTCTCCGAGTCCCTAAAAATTGTCTTCATGTTCACCAACACACAAAGGGAAACGTGCTGGAAGGCGTTTTTCTCAACATCTGGATTTACAATCCTCAAGAGTACAGTTAACATTGAAGTGATCTGATAGTCCCTTGTCGATCACTGAGCACTTGGACACAAGATGACTATCACGATGTGGCATAACTAACTCCAGTGTGTGACCCTAATTATGGGTAGGTCCTTTACAAACGCCATGGGTTATCTATCACCCATGGTGTCGTTCGGCCAACTCCAAAGAAGTGGCTAATGCATCAAATGCGTTGGGTAACTTTTTTTATAGTAATCTTTCTTGTTTTCCACCGGGGCCTTGATGGGGATGTGAGTACCGTCAATGGCCCCTACAGCTTGAGGCATCCCCATATCAACAAATCCTTGCTTCACCTCCTGCAAATAGCCGGCAGAAGGAAATTTAATGTGCCTTGGCAGGATCCTCCCAATTGCCTTACAAACGCCATGGGGTATCATCACCCATGCTGTCGTTCGGACAACGCCAAAGAAGTGGCTTATGCAACGAAATGCGTTGGGTGTACATGGCAATGCGCTACAGAGTGATGGCCACCAGTTTCTCCACAGAGACAACTGGTCCATGAATGTCAATCTTTTCAATATCAAGGCGCAATTCCTCTACCAGATGAATGAAAGCAGGCCCGGACATCCTAAAGTTTTCTTTCCACTGGGCACTTAAAAACGATGCCCAGGCATTTTCCCACCACATTAATCCTGGCCTGTCCAACCGATAAAGGACTCGCTGGTTTGACAGCAACCAGGCTTCTAATACCATAATTGATGTATCCAGATTGTTGCAGAGTCGTAGCAAGCTCTGCTGCAATCGATGGGCTCTCCACCGATGGCGCCTGCGAGACAGGGTCCGAGAAGACGTCTCCTGTACAACCAAGTCCATCATATCATCTGTGAAGAGGACTTTCCATGCTTTGAGTGGGGTCTTAGCTTGACTGGCAGTGCGGTTGACTCCAGGGGTTCCTGTTAGAATGTTTGCAGTATTCTGCCTTCCTCATTGAGCGGGAGGCTGGTTTTTCCAATCCACCATTTTCCTTGGTCGTGGCCATCCGTCTTCTCCACAGAGACAACTGGTCCATGAATGTCATTCTTTTCAATATCTAGGCGCAAATCCTCTACCAGGTGACTGAAAGCAGGCCTGGACATCCTATAGTTTTCTTTCCACTGGGCACTTGAAAATGATGCCCAGGCATTTTCCCACCACATTCCTGGCCTGTCCAACCATAAACCTACTACTGTTGCAGGATGCCCCATCAGATACCACTGCACATACTCTAAGCCCAACTGTCTCTACCTTGAGAACGGTTTTCATGACGCAGTCATAAATTTCTCCACTGCGTAAAGCAATCGTGGGAAAGAACACAACAGCCTGTTGCACAGATGAAAATATTCCACAAACCATTATCATGAATGCATGCGTGGCCAGTTCAGCAGTGTCTTCTTTGATGCGTCTCTCAAACACCCTGAACTCATTATTGATGTCCCCAACATCTACAAAACCAAGAAGATGTCCAGTGGAGGATGAATATGCCTTTCTATAAAGGATAAAACTTTATATCAAACATTAGGTTTAAAATCAATGTCGCAGAACCAAATATTTATATATAATCTCTAGTTCTTAAACAATTGGAAGTATCTTGGAAGTATTCCCGAAAAAAATTATCTTTGCTAAAGGATATCTATTTCGGATGGTAATGTAGAAATCTACATATCACTTCTTGTCAATATTCCGAAATGTTTTGTTCAAATTATTAGTGCCAACATGAATGATGACGGCATCAATGTTCTTGATGTTTTCGCGAAAGGTCTTTATTCTTGCTCCAGGAAAACAAAATACGTCCAAATCCACTAAATTTCTATCAAACTTGGTCACACTCCTTGCACACAAACTTGGTGCACAAAAAAGCACTGGGATTTACGACAATGTCAAAATGATAACCTGACAGATATAGATACAGCATGTCATTTGCCCCCTGATCTGTCCAACTACGCTACGCCACTGGCTTGTATAGCAGCTAAGTCCCTTTAATTCAGTTCAATAGTGGAGAAAATGAACATACCCATGTTATGTGGACACCTGTTCCATTAGCTGGCCGAAGAGTTAGATAGACAGCTGCCTGGCACTGCTGGCACACAGGGTTTGCCTCATGGGCAAGGGCCTTCAGCCTCTTCCCAGTAATAATAAAGAGATCGGCCTCTGCTGCCTCTTCTCCACCAATCTTCTTGTGCAGCCCTGATCTCGTGAAGTCCCCTGGCTTGTCCCGTCTGGCCGTCTCGTCTCCCAACACCTCCTCCTCTTCCCCAACGATTGGGAGATCTCTTGTGTATTGTTCTCTGCCAAAACAAACAAAAATACAAAAGATACTCATCACATTAAATTTATTGAATATAGCCTTTAAAACATAGTTCACCAACACCATCTTTCCGGAGAACCGGATTTGAGATGCTGCCTGGTCCGTTTGCATGGAGTTCATCTCCCTAAGAGATCTGCATTGAGATTGGTGAGCCGGTTGCGGGGGAGCCGATGGGCCATGTTGGATTCGAGATGCTGCCTGGTCTGTTTACATGGAGTTCATCTCCCTAAGAGATCTGCATTGAGATTGGTGAGCCGGTTGAGGGGGAGACGATGGGCCATGTTGGATTCGAGGAGTTGCCTGGTCTGTTTGCATGGAGTTCATCTCCATAAGAAGTCTGCATTGAGATTGGTGAGCCGGTTGCGGGGGAGCAGATGGGCCATGTTGGATATGAGGTGCTGCCTGGTCTGTTTGCATGGAGTTCATCTCCCTAAGAGATCTGCATTGAGATTGGTGAGCCGGTTGAGGGGGAGACGATGGGCCATGTTGGATTCGAGGAGTTGCCTGGTCTGTTTGCACGGAGTTCATCTCCATAAGAAGTCTGCGTTGAGATTGGTGAGCCGGTTGCGGAGGAGATGATGGCCCATGTTGGATTCGAGGTGTTGCCTGGTCTGTTTGCACGGTGTTCATCTCCCTGAGAGATCCGCTTTCAAACATGAAATGATTGTTTGAATCATCTGGAATTAGATGTTAGTTTTACTTGTCTTCAAGTTTATGCATATCAAATATCATTAAAAAATGACAACATGAAATATGGCACACAGAGTTTGCCTCCTGAAAAAGGGCCTTCAGCCTCTTCCCAGTAATAATAAAGAGATCGGCCTCTGCTGCCTCTTCCCCACCAATCTTTTTGTGAAGCCCTGATCTGGTGAACTCCCCTAACACCTCCTCCTCTTCCCCTACGATTGGGAGATCTCTTGTGTATTGTTCTCTGCCAAAACAAACAAAAATACAAAAGATACTCATCACATTAAATTTATTGAATATAGCCTGTAAAACATAGTTCACCAACACCATCTTTCCGGAGAACAGTTACGAAAGTAAACTGATGTCACCAGATGCATCACGTAAAATACAAATGGCTTGGATGATGCACAGTCTGATTGGCAGCCTGCTTTTAGATCAGAAATCTCTGCAAGGAGGTTTTTACAGCAGGAAAGGGGCTTGCAAAAATCAAGGATCTTTTCCCCAGACTTCTGGATGACATTCTGAAGTGTTGTGGCTACTGCAAGCCGTGCTTAAACTCTTTTGATAATTATAATCACAGGAAAACAAAAATAGGGGATCTATGCTTTTAGTTGTATAATCACATCGATGTCAATGAAAAGTATAAATTGAAAATGAGTTTGGATGCCCGCCTTATCCAACTAACCTTGTATAAAAATACAGATTCCCCCCCCCCCCCAAGAAAAAAAAAACTACAACAACAACAACAACACTTGCCATACTTCAAAACTAACACAAACTCATATTTGTTACTGAAAAAACAAACGTTAGATATCATAAATTGGTAATTTTGACAATACAAATCAAGTAAGATCATTTATTAGAAAACATATATCTCAATGCAGAAAATATAAACCGTAGGAGCTCCTCTTTGTTTGGTCCATGATTAAGAAACTTCTTCCACTGTCGAGGCTCTTTCATCTGTCTTACAAGGATTCGTACTTGCTGGACACCTCCCAGTGCTCGTCTTGCACGTTCGGCAGTCTTGATACTTTTGGTAGGATATCGGTCAGTAACAAAGTTGATCTCTTTTGATGATGAACAATCAAATATTATTTAGATGGATATACATTTGCTATATATAGTAACTGTCGTTTTGTTACTTGGTATAATGAAGATATTTTTGAGGCCAGTGGATATCTCTACCATGTAAACTACAATCCTATCAACAAGAACTATACAAGAGTAATACCAACAAGAATTATAATGTTCAAATTACAGTAATTTCATAATGTCTTCAATGATATGGACATCATTTATTTAAAATATCTTGAACATTATTACACTTGCCTTCTGGAATGTACAAATATTTAATATACTTACACAAGTATGTCTCCTTCTGGCTCTCACAAAACTCCATGAACTTTATGGCAGCATCCAAAGATATCTTTATGATTGCCCTTGGAGGGAGAGTTAGCTCAACTTTGTCGAGCAGGCTTCCCATTACGTGAGATAGGACGTGAATGACTGGTGCAACTCGCACCACCAAATCCATTGTCGCCAAACTGCGTCGTACTCTGAGCGATTGA